AGTTTGTAAACTAGAAGACATTTTGGATATCGTTCATTATGGCAGTACTATTCCGGGTCATTGGGAAACGATTGTAAACGAAACATTTAAAGTGGTACTGGAATCTTCATTTTCCGAAACATTCTGTAACATTACCGAAGAAATGAAACAAACACCAAAAGTGTATCATGTGCTCGCATTGTATGCTCTGTTTGTAGATGTAATGCATCTTTGTGTCAAAAACAGCATACACATGAATACTTTGGCCGAAGTGCAAAAACTCCATTATAATATTTCCCTTCATCTGGGGGATTCTATGCTGGAAAAGATCCTGGGGATGTTGCAATCAGTATAATTGTATTATTGATTCCTATGGGGTGAAAATAATAAATTGTAAATATGAAATTCTGCAAATAAAAAAAGTGTTTTTTACATTTAAAAAAAACTTGTCTTCAAATCATAGTATATTATTTCCTACATATCATTTTAAAAAAGAGTCACAGTGTAGAATGTCCAAACATTTAATTTAAAAGTACTAGTATAGTATGTTAAAAGTATCTTGAAAAAAGTCCAAGTATAGTATGTAGTTAAGAAATATATTATATAGTTTTGTCTGCAATGTCAGTATAGGATCTCTAATAAAAAAAATAAAAAAATTAGAGAAAGTCATAGTATAGTTTGACAAAAAGATCCTGAAAAAGTCATGACACTGTGTGTTGAAATGGTTTTGAATAAACACATCAGTATTTTAAAAAGTAAAATTGTATCAAGTGCATCAGACAACTCAAATTACTCCATTTGAACCATATTATAAATAAGTAAAGAATGGTCATAGTATATAGCAGGGGTGTTTAATAGTTTTCTGTGTGTCGGTGTTTCAGTGTTTCAGTGTTTCAGTGTTTCAGTGTTTCTGTGTTTCAGTGTTTCAGTGTTTTGTGTTTTTGTGTGTCAGTATTTCAGTGTTTCAGTGTTTTGTGTGTCAGTGTGTCAGTGTTTCAGTGTTTCAGTGTTTCAGTGTTTCTGTGTTTCAGTGTTTCAGTGTTTTCAGTATTTCAGTGTTTTGTGTTTCAGTGTTTCAGTGTTTCAGTGTTTTGTGTTTCTGTGTTTTGTGTTTCAGTGTTTTTTGTGTTTCAGTGTTTCAGTGTTTCAGTGTTTTTGTGTTTTCTGTGTTTCTGTGTTTTTGTGTGTCAGTGTTTTCAGTGTGTCAGTGTTTCAGTGTTGCAGTGTTTCAGTGTTTTCAGTGTTTCGTGTTTCAGTGTTTCAGTGTTTTTGTGTTTCAGTGTTTCAGTGTTTTGTGTGTCAGAGTGTCAGTGTTTACAGCCTTTCTTTGCTCTGATCAATCCCCAGGGATCCTCCCCTGGAAGGAATATAGCAGGATGAGAGAAAAACATTTAAAAAAAACGTATCTTAGAAGTGGCTATAACATTTGATGCAAATCTAAAAGATAGTCAGATTCCTAAAAAGTTACAAACGGATGCTGGAAAAGAATTATTTAACAAGATTTTTGAAGCCTTGCTGAAGAAACAAATAATTCTTTTCCAGCATCCGTTTGTAGATGTTTAGGGGTCTCTTGGAAGTAAATGAATGCATTTTTTTATATCAGATAAGTGCATTAACATCACTTGCAAATTCTCTATCCTTTCACCCGCAACGATTATAATCTGCTTTGCTTCTTCTTCGGTTTCACCATTATTAGCTCTGAATGTAATACTTTCTGGGGCTTCTTGTGCTTCTTGTGGTCTGTAGAATACCTGGCATAGGATTTGTTTAGCTGTAAGGACGGGTACCATATAATTATCTTCAAAAGCTGGAAATTCTTACAAGTTCCCCCTCCTCAAAGTTCATTCCCGTAGCACCTTTCCCCCTCTGATGCTAGTGACCCCCCTTTGTATGCTAATTACCCCTTTGTTCGAGGCGTTATCACATGTAGGTGTGTTCAGTTAAACACTGAGATTTTCAACATACTACTCTACAAAATGATTTTTTCATATTCTTTTGACAAACTATACTTGACTTTTTTACGGAAAATCATGACACACTTTAATGTGACTTATTCTTAATTTTACCGTAAGACTTGAAAATACTATATCGTTTTCTAGTTTTTTATATTATACATCCTTATTTATGTTAGTGTGCTGAGAAAACACACTAAGCAATAGCATTTTAACAAGCAGTTTAAACTGTCTGTGTCAGTTTTACTTATCTCCATATTAAGTGATTATATAATATGACAGTGATCATTTCTATGTTTATTCATTGCAAATACTTAGTTACTTACCACTTGAACTGTTTAGCTCTTCAAGGTTAACTGACCTAATATATACACTTTTTTTTGTAGTATTGTCACCACGTTCTTAAGAATTATATGGACGAGTTGGCAGCTGCCATGGCTGGACTGTCAATCAAAAGTTACCAGTTATCAAGCGATGGTATGGACAACTTAACAGCTGACTTGGCTAGACTTACTATGAGGAGTCAGCAGGTAACAGATGAGTGTGTGAATGAAATAACAGCTGCCTTCAGAGGACTCTCCACTAATGCACAGCAGCTTCCTGTTAGTGCCTGCACTGAGAATCCTCAAATACAGAGACAAGTCACTTTGTCCACGCTCCCTGAGACCCTCAAGCCCACTAATGCCTAGGTGAATAATATTGACTTGTGTTAGTTTTACTTAAACTTACTTACATTAAGTGATCATAATATGACAGTGATAACTTCTATGTTTATGCATTGCAAATACTTAATTATTTTTTGTTAGTTCTACACCTCTCTTTATCCGCTCTCCAAGCCTCCAAGGGCGGACTCCTGAGGTCCGTAATGCCCCCCTAACATGACACTTAGACTATTTACATCATCTAGGGAAGCACACCAGTAAATGTAGCCTCATGTAACTTCATATAGGGATTCTTTAATAGTTGTGTGAAGTAGTTAAACAATAAGGGGGTAATAAGATCTTTAAATTATAATTTTCCTCTCAAAGAGACTTCGTTGTACACACACACACACAAACAAAACAACATTAAATAATGACATGATATTATAGTGATAACACATAATGTGTAGAAAGAGATGTCCTGTATGGGTTGATTGCGCGTTGATCTGTTGGTAAAATGCTCATCTATCATTTTCAACCAAGCAGTATGAGGTCAAATTTAATAAGTAATAGTTTGTCACGATTTTACGGGAAAAAGTCAGAGCGCAATGTCACATCTTAAAGACAGCTTGAACTGGATAGATGGTTAGTCTTTTTTCAAAACATACCATATGTTCTGCATGTTAGTATATTTGGCCAAATCGGGTTAGGCCCTACTGCCCCACTCCCCCAATAGGGAAGTCACGCTTTGAGAAGAGGTGTTTAATTTCACAGATCTGACTTGATGTGATGGCTGAAGTAATAGGGACGGGGGAGGACAATTCAGGGGTGAAGAAGCAGAAAGATAACTTGTTTGTAAAACGGACAGCACTTCAGTTTCAGGAAAGATGACACATATAACTTCATATAGGGATTATTTTATTAGTGGATTTGATGTAATTAAACATAAAGAAAAAAACCAAACGCCATGGGGTCATTAAGATCTTTAATTTATTGCCAACCTCTTCAGAGAGACTTTGTTGCATTTATTACCAGATTACCCCTCCTTTCAACAAAGAGAGGCCCTTATAGTTAGTATAGTAATTAAACATTAGTTCACCATCCGTACACTTCAAGAGAGCCTCCTTAGTTATTAACCCAACTCTTATTTTTTTTTAAAAGGCGGGGTAGGAGGGGAATACGGGTATGGGTGTGTGTGTGTGTGTGTGTGTGTGTGTGTGTGTGTGTGTGTGTGTGTGTGTGTATGGAAATCTCTCCGGCCAGAAGGATATCCCCTTTAGCGCAATACCGCATCAGTTGCACCTCTTATGTGACATACAAGAATAGTGTGTGACAGACAAAAGATGTCCTATAGGGGCTGATTATGCATGGACATAAACGCTAGTAACGTCTAATCTGACGGGGGATACCCGCTGTTGCTGACGGAGGGAGACCCCGGTGCTGCGGACTATTCGACATGCATCTCTGCATGCGGTGAGCGGAACAAAACACACTCGTAGATAACACACGTAGCTATTTTTAATTACCTCTCAAACTACCTAAACTAGTTAAAGTTTGTTTTAGTTTTACTGTCGAGTCACTCATTATTGGACCCGCGAGCTGCATGATACTGGCGTGTTGTCAGGAGGGGGGAGAGCAGTCCGTTTATTATTCCCGTGTTATTGTAAATTACTGTACACGTTTTGAATAGTTAATTAATCTACTATAACTAGTTGGTTTAATATCGAATCATATCAGTTTGTTTCAAAGCTCATTAAATAACATAGAAGACCTTTAACCGGCACTTTTCTAATTCTGCCCCGGAAGATTTAAACTGTAACGAACATGCCGACCGGACAGGAGGGGGGAGGAGGAGGGGGTTGAGAGGGGTGGGGGCTGAGCGGGGTGGGGGGCTACCTGAGAGGATGTAGCACCTTTATGTGAGGGGGAGGGGGGGTGGGCTGAGGGGGGTGGGGGGTACCGGGGAGGATGTCACACCTGTACGCGATAACACCTCGAACAAAGGGCTCATTAGCATATCAAAGGGGGGTCATTAACATAATTAGGGGGCGGGACTTAGAAGGTGTGACCTGTCACTTTTTTATGCATACTAATGAGATTGAAGCGGGATATGTAATACTACTTATGGACTGTTCTAGAAGTTACATTTTTTAAGTATTGCTTTAATCGATTACTAGATAATAATTACATATTTATATATGAAATGTAGATCTTCTGTTCTTTGATACTGTATATCGTTTAAGTTGTTTCACCTCTAGACCTACTTATTATGAACTGAACATGTATTTTATGTTTATTTTCCTGTGAATAGCAGAGCTATAATGAGCTTGTGAGATTTCCAATGTGGTTATGTGTATTAGCCCATAATGTATATTGTACTAATAGTGGGTTCAGAGGTCTCAGTAGACACTTACAGTCTTGACCTTACAGTCTGGCTGTAGTTTGGAGGATCATTGACCAGCTGCTCCCGTAGAATGTGCCAAAACACCCGCTGTACCATATCCGTCACTCTGGCCTCCAGGCTACAGATAGAAATATGTTTTTTAAAAACATCTCAAAAGAGACTCAACATTTAATACATTTTGTACAAAAGAGTGCTTTTCTCGCCTGTCTGTAGGAAGGCTGGGTTAGAAGCAGAAGTCTCTGTTCAGCACTAGCTCATGCGCGAGATTCAGGTTGGAAACACAATTTTCCAGCTCCGTCAGGCTGGATGATGAGGCGGTGGGCGGGCTCCCTGACACCACACACAGACACACCCTCAGATAATTAACTGCCACTGTGATAATCATTCAATTACTAATGGTCCCTGAACGTGCCTGAAAACAATAACGGCTACAATAAAGCTTTATACCTGTGGGGGAGTCAAGCTTTTCTGGACAGGGAAGGTCGCCGGGGGAATCCTCCGCTGCATCCTCTCTTTGATTTGGCCATTCAGCAAAAGTCTAGACATTTAAATGAACAGAATCAGGTTGATACGTACGAGGAATTTGACTTGATGTCATGGTGCATCCAGTAAATAATAAACAAAACACAGCTTGATGAAATTTGTAACAATGTCTACAATACAAACAGTATGAGCTGCAATAATAAGTAGCTTAGTCAATGTAATATAGTTTATTTATCATTTCAGTTTTTTGTTTAGTTTCAAGTTTTCTTTGTCATATACAGGGAGCAAACTCATCAGGTATGAAAAAGGTGACAAGGATCCGAGCCCCCCGAATATCGGCTTTAAAATTAGGAATAACAGATGATTTTAGCAGTCAGAACAACTAAAGCAGCAGTGTTAATAATAACAGAAACGCCAAAGAGTCACATCTAATAGAAATATATAAAAGCATTTATTTTAATTGTGTAGCAGTCAGTTAACTAAGTTGTGTAGCAGTCAGTTAACTAAGTTCATAAACTCAACAAGTACTATACTTACAATTTCCCTGGCTAAATGTTTCACATGGTTTTACACCTTGCTAAATAACCAACATGTATGATATATATTTTCAGACCTGGATACATTTTCTTTGACATTAGTCATTATACCTGACAAATGTACTTTGACAAGCAACACATTTACCACTTTACCATGTGCTTCTCTCACACACAGCTAAATAGAATTGATGGGTGCTTCCCTATGGTGCTTCCTGATTTATGGTTACATGACAACAAATGTGCACATTTTCCTAGATAGGCCTACAGGGGGTGGCTCGCTCATCTTACCCCACTCTCCCCAGTAGGAATTTAGTTTAGACTGTTTTCTATGGGGTTTCTAATGGCTTGCATGTTTTACCTCTGCGACATTCTTTTCAAGGCATAGGCTACCCTATTTCAATACTTTTATGAAGAACTTTGCTATGATTATTTTGGCTGCACATTGAAACCTGTAAACTTTACTGAAGTGACGTTTTGATAATGGATTACATTTACAGAGACAGTGTTTAGATAATAACGTACCTGTTGTTGGTATTCTCGTTAATTAATTAAAACTTAAAAATAAGAAAGACATAAATGTACTGACTGAAACGTCATAAACTGTAGTGAACTGTTTATCTCAATAAAGTGTAAAAGTCTCGTGCGTGCAGTCATTACATAACGGTCACATTTGAATCTGGGCTAAACCATTCTCCTCCGGATAAAGGAGGGGTTTAAAAGTACAAGCCTTTGAAAACGTTTTACCAAATCTCTATGTGCGATTGTACCATAATATTAAATATAGCTATTAATGCTTTAAATTACCAGCCTTCATTCATTTTTGTGTAAAATAAAGACAAATTTCGTTTTGCTCCATTCTCAAATCAAAACAAATGGGCCTGTCTATACACCGTATGTTTCTGCAGCAGCGTGTCACCCATGGTGTCACCTCACCAATTAACTTACCTGTTCCTCGTTTTTTATAGAAATAAAAAAGCAGAAAACGGTCGGTGTGTTTGTATAAATAGAACATTGTCTAGTAAGAGAATAATGTTTGTGACGGCTCTTATTTACAGACTATGGTGAACAGCTGGAAATGTCCCGTTTTCTTTGCTTCGAGAACTGCACTGAAATATTGATTACATCTGCGACTAAAGTGTGTTCAATGTTTACACTACTCCAGGTTCTATGTATGTATGTATGTATGGTGTGCATATATTTTTTATTTTACTTCCTTTATCTAAACCTTGCCTCTTAAAAATAATTTTAAAATACTTGTAAAACATATCCCGTTTTATGTTTCTTTAGTTTTTGTACTTGTTTTTTTGTCAATATTTACCACAAATAATAGGCTCCAAATAAGGTAAGAACATCTCATAAATCACATGACCATACATTAAAAGTTTTAAAGCAGCAATTATTAATTTCTCAAACAGTTTTTCTCTTTTTAATATAACTTCAAAATGATTATCTGTGTTTCAGATTATTGTTTTTTGACAAATTAGGCACTTGTAAAGCATTTGAGAATGCACTGAGGCAGAGATTTAAATTTTTTTTTTTACAAAGACATCAAAAAAGTCGCGAGACAGATGTGCATTGCAAATAATTTATAATTGCAAAATGTTGTGTAACAAACTGTTTTGATAAATACAAGCATTTGACAAAGCCTCACCTATAAAAGTTGACCTTCCTTCACAGCCACAAAACACAAATAGATTTGAACATATTGGGGAAAAAAACAACTCCCAGGCCATGATATTTATACATTTGCATATTTCAAAAATATTGAACATAATTACATTTCTGTTTTAAAATAACAAGGATAACTTAAAAAATGACAGTTTTACACTTAGTTCAAGCTTCTATGTACAAATACATGCGTTTGCTTTTCTGCACAATCACTGCCCTCACTTCAGGTGGAGTGTCTCAAACATTAAAGCAGACAAAAAGGAAAATAAGTGCCAAAAGTTGGGCTTTGTGAAGAGAGCAGCACACCACAATTGTTCCTCAGATAACTTAGTGTCCTCCTATGAAACTGAGACAAGAAATCAATGTCTTATTTTAGTAAATCATCTTGAAAAGCGGTGAAAAATAATTTGTAAGCAGTTTAAAACTACAGGGGAAAAACTGGCCAGTTTCTCATGAAAGGGAAATCGATGTCACAAAAGACACTGCGTAAACGGTTTCTCTGCATTCAAGCTTTGTATTCTAGAGCAGTGAGGTTCTTATTGTGAAAAAAGGAAAAGGAGCATCTGCTGAATAAAAATGAGAACATTTTAATGAATGCAATCTTCTGTTCCCTGCCACACATACAAAGAGAAATGGTTCTCTTTCATTCATACACTAACCAAACTGTACAAAAACATCTCTAATAATATAATATTAATTAATTCAGAATTCACTCATGTTTGTATTAATGCCCTAATTCAGCAACGACTGTGCTGCAGTATGACCCCAACAGACCCCACTGAGCAGGTAGTGCACTTTGGCAGGCTCGTTCTTCTCAAAAGAGTTCTCTTGCATTCAACTTTTTCTTTCTCTGGCCAAATCCATGACTGTTTACACCTGCTATAATCTAAAGAGTCTGAATCTAGATGTGTTATCTGGATGATGACATTTAATAGACTACCTCTAAATCCACACCCTGTATTAATCACAAACATGTCACGGTAAGACAAAATGGCATGTCTTAGGTCTTTGTAACTTTCTGATTGGCAGCTTGGTTGGGTGATTTTATCAACTTGCTGCGTGTTGTTTTGCATTCAATAATGTACTTTAACTGGGGCGCACTATGGGGTTGGAGGTCTAAACTGCAACTCGAATCTGCAGTGTCCTTTCATGCATGTTGTCCTACACGCTAATTGCATTATAAAAGCTTTAAATGCACAAACATTAAGCATTTCACCTGGCTGAGATCTGAACACCATGTAAGCAGGGCCACACCCAGATCAGAGGGGTATACTACGAAGCCAAGTTAGAGGGTTAGCGAGGTATGTTGAGCCTAAAGCCAGAGTTTACTGTACTACGAAGGTGGCTCTCTTAACCTGGCTAGATTGCCATGGTAACTTATGCTGCAGACATAACCTGCTCCTTTCAAGGTTATGTTCAGATTAAAATAAGCCAACACCACTGTTCTCTAACTAGTTCCTGTAAATAGCAGGCCTTTATAGTCAATCAGTGAGCAGAATTTATTCTCATGCTTTTTGCTTCAAAGTTTAAGAGCTGCAGTTGTGGCACACAAGAGGCACAGATTTCATCGAGTGGTAAATCAAATATAATAGTCATGAAATGACACGATATGGCTCTGTTGAACTCGCTTCGCAGTATACCGCCCAGGTCTGGTGGATTATATGGCAGCCTGAATGCGATATGTTCTGCATGCTTGTACTCTTACACCTTTGCATGCTTTGTTCCTTATCAAGATCAGATATCCAGATACACTCATTCAATGTGAGAATCAACATTTGTCATAAAGCACAGATCTCACTGTGGCTCCAGATTGTATTCCTTGTGACTGAATGCATGTAAACGCAGGATTTTAGTGCTTGAGGGGCTTCAGTAGTGATGAGGTCATAGTGCAGCAGTCAGTCCGTGTTGTCGGTGCTATGAGGAAATCATTTACCTGTTTTACGCTCTTCTCTCACACAAAAAAAGATTAATCAAGATCAATGCACGTGCTAAGAGTCTTTGAGCATGTTGATGCGTGCGAAGATCTTGAGTGCAGGTCCCAGTTTAATGTTCATGGCGCTCATGAGGTGGTCCTCCTTCAACAGGAGCATGGCCTGTCCGTCAATCTCCTGAGATCGAAACTCGTCTGCGATCTCCTGACAGCCTGCGTGAACAGCGGAGGGAAGAGTATGTTAGTGACACTAAAACTTCAAAAATAAAAGCATGTCTATGTATCGGGGATGGGACGATATAGTATTGCCATGTTGTGCCGAGTATGGAAGATACTTCGTTGTGAATTTATTGAGGTTCATTTTCATTATTAGGATAATATCTTCACACGAGTGACTCGGAAAACGTGTTATAGCTCGCTATCATTAGGGAAGTAACAATTATAATGTAAGAAAGAACAGACTCAATTATTTTTTAAATGATCTTTTGCCAGGTGACCTTATTATTATTATTATTATTATCTTATTTAATATTATTGTTTGGTATTTCTCTGAAAATAATGTTCACTAAAAGAGATGTGTGTCCTATATGTGATGCAAAAAAATATGTATTTCTTAATAAAACTTTTCAGTATGTTTTCGGATCAGGCATAATTTGAGGATTATCAGGATAATATTGTGAATCCAAGTAATTTTTCTCAGATAATTGAGAGATGTCAGAGGTGTGGACTCGAGTCACATGACTTGGTCACCAATTTCATAACTTCGGACTCGACTTGACAAAATCACAAAACACTTGCGACTCGACTTGGACTTGAACACCAATGACTGCTGTAGCGATTTCATGAAGTGAATGAGAGTCCGAGTTCGAAATATATCTAACATAATGTATGTACTGCAAAACGGTTGTCTCCCGTGTGCTCCACTTCCTACTTGGCGCTCTGGTAACTTTCTCGTGCGAACGAGATACAGTATCTTTTTTTTTTTTCATTGCCGTACAATACAAAAACAAATGCAAATATTTAATTTTAAAAAGTAAAGTCCTTTCGAGTCATATGTCTCAAGTCAAGTCAAGTCATGTACTTTGAACACTTACATTATATTATTAACATTTTAAACTGTATACCCCGGTTATCTAGGCCCTTTGTTTTGTTTAATGTATACCATGTTTATCTAGGCCCTTTTTGTTTTTTGTCTGATGTATATATGTCACACTGTAGGACTGCGGGAAACGATATTTCGATATTTCTGGATGTACAACATGTAGAATTCTTGACAATAAAGCTGACTTTGACTTTTGACTTTGAATACCAAGTCTTTTATCAATGTTAGTCAAGCAAGTCTCAAGTCCAAAAATATGCGACTCGAGTCTGACTCGAGTCAAGTCATGTGACTCGAGTCCCCCACCTCTGGTAGGAATACTCTGTTACAATAAAAAGTTGTGTATTCAAAATGTTACTCAAGTAAAAGTACAAAAGTATTAGCATCAAAATATACTTAAAGTACCACCTGCAGAGGGATCTAGATTCGGGTGTTCTTTTCCCCATAGAGACGCCTCGCTGCACATTATCCCTTGCATAAAGATAGATTGTGGGTCCCTTATAGCATGTTGTACACAGTGGAAATAAACATTCTGGTTACCTTAACGTCAGAGATCTTATACATTAAACTCCTTCTGAATCAAACCGTCACAGTAGCCTTACCTTACGAATCCGTCTTAAAATAGAAAAAAACCACGTTACTTTACCAGCAGAGATAAAATGGATTATTAAATTATTAATGTGACTAATAAAGAGCAGTTTGATTATTAAGTATTATTCTGTTGATCGATGTCATTACATTTGGTGAAAAGCACATAATGACTTGTTTAAGACTCGGTTTTCAAAGTTTAGGACTTGGACTTGACTTGAACTTGCCCATCCTGACTTGAGACTTGACTCGGACTTGAGCGCAAAGACTTGAGACTTACTTGTGACTTGAGCGCAAATACTTGAGTCTTACTTGTGACTTGAGTGCAAAGACTTGAGTCTTACTTGTGACTTGAGTGCAAAGACTTGAGACTTACTTGTGACTTGAGTGCAAAGACTTGAGACTTACTTGTGACTTGAGTGCAAAGACTTGAGACTTATTGTGACTTGAGTGCAAAGACTTGAGACTTACTTGTGACTTGCAAAACAATAACTTGGTCCCACCTCTGCTAGATGTTCATATTGTCGCAGCTCTAGTATGTAACACTTAAGAAGTGTCGATGAACTAACACTGTGGTTACTCCTCTCACCTGGCAGTGATCGGATGAAGTCGTAAACTTGTTCCACGTTCCACTTGGTGGGGTCGTTGGGTATGAAGCAGAGCGAAGGCGAGTCTCTGACAGCACAGACCTCCTGTTCCGAGGCCCTGCTCGGGTGCCGGTGTACGGGGACCTGAGCGGGGGCCGGGGCGGGGGGCAGGGTCCCCGAGCTGGCTGCAGAGAGCGGGGAGGGCGGTTCCTCGTAGCTGGACATGTCCGAACACGGGCTGGACTCCTCCTGACTGGGCTGCGAGGGGTGGGGGGAGGAGACAGAGCCACCCTGAGTCTGCTGCGGGGAGGGGGACAGCTTCTGAAAGTGACAAAGTTGGAGCATGACGTAAAACACTCGGCATATGGGAAATAAATGGCGGAACAGTAAAACGCTTTTAAGACATTGTGATAGACTCAGCAAAGATTAAAGCTGTTATAAGTCAGATTGATACTGTATGTAAGTGAGTATAATACACCTACAAGGATTTTAGAGTTGTTGGATGGATGCCAATGCCTCAAAAGTTGCTAAACCCTTTAAATTATAAAATCTTCTTCCTGAACAAAATGTGAAACAAAAGCACCCCCCACTGGAGGTTCAATACTGAACCCTTGAGGCATTACATAACTGAGAACATTTAGGCTATACAACCTTAGAAAGAGGGATCTCCAGCCAGAACATATATGTTATTCACCGTCATATAAACTACTTGTCTGTATTGTAAAAGTAGCTTTGCTGTGTCATTAAAAGTGTCAAGGTCCTGGGATATCTACGTACAAAGTCAAAGTCTCAGATGAGTGGCAAAAATAAACAAGACAACAAATCAAGTGGCTTTTGACGACTATATCATTTGCGTAGTAGGCAGAAAATCCATTCTGATGCTCTTCGCACCTACCGTTCCCCAATAAACGTTGACAACGATCATAAAGTAGGTAATGACCCTTTAATGACAGAGGAAGATAATCGGGCACTGACACAAATGATGCTAAAAGTTCATTAAGAAGCCTCAGGCGTGAAGAGTGCAGCGGGAGCAGTAACTACTGAGAGGTAAAGTGTTGAGGAGGGTTTTTACAGCAGTGGGAGAGAGTGTGTGTGTGTGTGTGTGTGTGTGTGTGTGTGTGTGTGTGTGTGTGTGTGTGGTGTGTGTGTGTGTGTGTGTGTGTGTGTACCTGCTTCTTCGCCTCTATACTGCTGCGACCCTGAGATCTTCTACGCCAGCGATTGGTCGGTTTACTCCTCTCTGGACGGAAAAGGCCTATCCGTTTTGTGCAGCCCACGTTGTACCTGTCAGCAAAAGCCCATTATTAATGTGTTTACTTTTTCACAAAATGAAAAATTATAAAGAATCAAAAAGTGACTCGCCTCTTTGCACAAACCACGGAGCAGAATCTTTTAGAACCTTTAAATGTGTAGGCAAAATCGACCCAGCCGCAGTATTCACATGTCAGCTTGGGTTCTTGTTCTTTTTCTGAAGGAAGGGAAACAATATGGACACTCAATATTAGTTTCTCTTGTGAAATTAGACAACATGTGTCAGATATGGTCTAGGAAGTCTGGTTTAAGTGACAGATACATGTGTTTCAAGTCTTATCAGGTATTAAAACCCTGTACAGAATTGCACAACTCTGGCAACCATTAGAAATATGCTCATGCTACCAAGTTATTTCCAGGAATGTGTACCTGCATGAACGTGATTGGCCACGCAGCACCTTGCCAGAAAACATGATTTTGCAGCAAAAGTTGAGCCAGTATAACTTTTTTTTATCCAAAAATACTGCATTTGCACCAAACTGTGTCAGCGGACTGGCTCCATTCAATAAATGAGAGGGCTGTGTGTTTTATTACACAGGGCTGGAGTCTGAAGGTAAATCAGTTTACAGCACCATGTCATCGACTCACATGAATTTTGCAGTTTTGTTGCCTGACAAATGAGAATGTTCCAGGAAAAAAGGACTTGGGTTACATTCAATTTATCACAGACTTTATGCATTTAGAGTGAAAAACACTCCTGGAGAGCTACATTATTTAACAGGTTGGTTTGGGACTGGCGAATAAAGGCATGCAAGGCAAGGCAGAGATGCAGAAGCAGGTAATTACATCCTTTTGTCTTTTCTGTATCTGTTCTGAAGATTTTAATGCTGTGAAGTTAACCCATTGTAATGTCACAATTTCATAAACCTTCTAAACAGCAGATACTTTTCACCGCTTTCTTTTAAAGTCTCATTAATGCATCCCTGAGTTTAATGAGAGCACTGTGCTACACAAACTGATTAACATAAATTGTTGTACTCTTTCATACAATAATATGTATTACCTGATGTGTTCATGTCCTCGGTCTCGGAGTCGCTGTTTGCTGCGTTGCTGACGGGGGTCTTGTCGGGGTCCGAGGAGAGCGGATGATCCATCTTCTTCGGGCTGTCGATGAGAATGGGCAGACGCTCCACCTGGTGACAGAAAAGGGATATTTACAAATCTGATATCATGCTCCAGGAATAGGAAAAAAGGCTGTTATATATTAGATCAATGAAAAGACTACTTTAGATGATGATCGCAGCATTTGACTACCGCTTAATTAATTGTTACATCATTGTCTAGATCAGAGGAAATGGGGAAAACACAGACACTTCTGAACAATAGCTAGCTTAATAACTTTTGGGCTCACTTTGATAATCAAACTGCTGCTGGAGACATTGTTATCAAAGTAGGAAATGTGCGTCCAATTGTTCCGAAACAATGAGTTATCAGCAGGGAAATGATTTGCACTAGTGATTATTGAGTCATTAAATCATTAAATCAAGCATGAATGGTTTAATAATTAATGGTTACAACTTCTTGAATGTGAACATGTGCTGCTTCTCTCTGTTTAATATAATTTATAATTGGATATCTCAAGTTTTGACATTTCATAGAATTAACACCTAAGGAATAAATAGAAAAAAAGACTTCCAACAATCATTTATATTATATAATGATTAGCAATTAGCCCAATTTAAAAGAACCATATCAATGTGTTTGCAATGTAGATACTGCATTATTTCAGGCTGTCTAACAGTATGACTTCTTTGTGCTTGTTTAGACTTGTATGCATGAAAATATACCAAGCATTTATACTAAATGTCCAGTAGGAGGCAGTGAGCCCCAAGTCTAAAAATAACAACAAGCCTACAGTATGTGTTGTTGTTGCACCTGAACAAAAGGGTGTTAATTCTCACGTTTAGCTTATCATTATAAAAAAGGGGGATACACACTTTATCCGTATACAGATAAACAATATAATCACCTGAATGTTAAGGGAGATGACACAAATTAAAGCAGGGTTTTTATATGCCTCGAGATAATTGAGAAGCTGCAGCTCATTACACACACACACACACTCATCCGTCTGTACTCCTTCAGTCTCACTCAAATTAATGACTGACTCCCACAGAAGCTGTGAGCTGTCAGTAGTAGTAGTAACAGAGGGTTTTGTGTTTGCCTGCTGACAGCTCCCTGCAGGCGAGTACATCAGAGAGTGTGTTGTTATCGTGTCTCGCTGCTAGTAACTCTGCGATCGGGCCACTTACACACACGGGGAACGGCTCGGCCCCCTCCTGGATGACAAAGCCTTCGATGACATGTGTGAGGACCTGCGGCTTGACGATGGCCTGTGGCGGTTTGTTCTCGCCGTTCTGCGGCGTGCTGCCGGTCACGGTGGGCGCTTCGCTCTCATTTCCGGAGGTCATGGCTGGAGGTGGGGTCCCAGGTGGCGCAGCACTCGGCCTCTTGGTTGAGCCTCCGCCTGCTGATAAAGAAACAAATTCAACATCGTCCAGTTAATGTATGAGTGCTGGTCACTGGTGGGTTCTATGAATGAAATTAGAGCTAAAAGAGGGGTTGATTAAGCATTTCTGTCCAGCAAACATACAAACATCCCCCCAGTTTCCTTCACAGATGAATATTTGATGCATTTCCTTGTCATATTGTTGTATGTAAATAATGTTGTGTTTTCAAATGGTCCCAATTACAGGCATGCATTTAGAAAATGTCACGCTAGGCTCTGGATAATTAATTAATTATTTTTCAGTTTTATTACATTTTAATGGCATTTTGTCGAGAGAACAATCAGCAGCCCTAGATTAATTGTCAGATTGAAACTTCAATTACAAATATATAACATATTCTGATTTCACCTTCTCATAAGTGATTATTTTTTACTTTAATAAAAACAACATATTTAAAATACATCACTATGGGTTTCATTAAGAAGAACTTAGAAGAAACATTTTTTCAGTATTTTGTGACATTTTATAGGTGATTCAAATACCCAGCAGATTAATTGAAAATTAAAATACTGTAAGGACACACGCACAGCAAAGGAGGGTAAATCCACACTATTATTTTATTTAAAAAGGGTTGAATTACTTAATTTTAATCATTAAATATCTTCAAACTTAAATAATATAAGTAGCTGCAACTTCAATCAATTAGATGTTATAATGTGTTATTTCTTTCAAGCTTAGAATAGTTTCTCTTTCTATAATCACAGATAAGAGCTCTTTAACAGATACTTGGCTGTGTATGATCATGAGGTCATATTATTTAAAGTCCAAGCAGACACACAATCATCACATTATAGCTACATGCAAACAGTATGCGGTCATATCCACCTGCCTGCTGCTTTAAATGACTGCTCTGGTCTATTATCAGCAGAACATTTGAAGTGACCTACTGACACACAGACGGTCAATAACAAACAGTAAATTCAGCATGCGTGACTCCCACAGACACAACACCGACGCCCCTGCTCCCCACAAAGAGAAAGTAAACGCCATGCCTCGTTATGTTAAAAGTCTCCAGCGTTTACCAAGCTTTCTTACCAACTTCCAAGGTGTTCAGAGAGAAAACATTGCGTTTTGTTTGTGGTTGTAATGATCCTACACACAGCGCTGCCGCTGTTGACCGTGTTTGAGCTGCACCGCTGCTTCAGACCCGCTAAAGAGAAGCTTTACAGAGGCCCGCCCCCCTGTTTCCTCCCATAGAGGCTAACACTAGAAGGCTGCTGCATGATGAACACATGCTTCAACCGGGAACCCGGGAGAAGAGTGACTCCAGATTCAGCCTGACCAGGGGCGTTTCCTGGACCTGGAAACATTAGGGGTTTAGCCCACAGTGTCGGCGCCAGAGATTTTCTTTTGGGGGTGCTGTGGGGTAGCTTAACGTTTCATAGAGGTTGCTCAAACATGTAGGGTTTCCCATTAAGGTACCGGGCGCTACAGTGGAATGTTCTACTGCAACACTCCCCACACGCACATACATACACAGTACACCTGCGACTGTAGGAGGCTCGATAATCAGCAATTTCTTATAAGTGGGGGGCGGACCTCACCTCCTCTGGGGGGGTCCGGGGGCATGCTCCCCCGGGAAGATTTTATTTTATTTTTTTAAATATTGAGGTTAAATGCATCAATCTGGTGCACTTTGAGAGCAAAATTAAGAGATCTATGGATACATCTTTCAACACCCTGAAACAGAACTGTAAACAGATTTTCTTTTTCTTTATGGATATTTTACAAATCACTCTCCTTTTAAACTGTATTCTTGTTTTACTGGCATATAGTATTTCATAACTGTTTTTTTATAACTATAATGATCATATGAAGGTGTGCCTCGGAAATATTCTTTTGAATAATTCGTGACCAAACCGTTTGAGACCCACTGAGATAACTTCATATAGTTAACTATCTAAACACTCAGAGAGTCCTTTAGCTCACCTGAGTCTCTCAGTCTGACAGGAGAGGAATCTCCTACAGCTTGTTGTGGAAACAGCTCCTTATGTCCGTTAGTGCAGCTAGCTAACCAGATGCTAACAACACGGTCCCGTGCGCTCTCTCTCTCTCGCTCAATCACACTAAATGCTCTATTGACACACACACACACACACACACACACACACACACACACACACACACACACACACACACACACACACACACACACACACACACACACACACACACACACACACACACACACACACACACACACACACACACACACACACACACACACACACACACACACACACACACACACACACACACACACACACACACACACACACACACACACACACACACACACACACACACACACACACACACACACACACACACACACACACACACACACACACACACACACACACACACACACACACACACACACACACACACACACACACACACACACACACACACACACACACACACACACACACACACTTTCAGGGCCGGTTCGGAGCTGGAGCTTGAAAAGCACCGGGTTTTCCTGTTCACACCGCAGCGGAGCAGCCTCTAAGCTCCGGAATCCGGTTCGTTTCGAGCACCAAAAAGTTGTCCGTCTAGAAGCAAGAACCGCATACGTCACGCTTACGTCGGAGGGGGGCGAGATTAACCTGAGCTAACAGTTAAGGCGAGTACGGCAAATAAAAGTTGTAACAAGCAGTAGTGCTGAGCAAAGTGACTAGAACGCAACCACCCACTTGTAAAAAAAAAAAACACGCTTTACAAAGTCAGGCAACACTCACCAGGCTTCGTGTGATTCTGTTTATTTGTACCTTACTTTGACCATCCGTTCGCTGTTATTGATCATTGTGGAGAGCAGGCAGACGTTTTGTTTGTTATTATAGCAGCTATCGGATGGAATCAATACATGGGCTGCACAGGTTGTCATGTCCGACTATCACAAGTAGAATCATAATGAAAAATACGCCGGTAAAAAGTGCCTGTAGAAAACGGCTTAGCAAGTAGTCAGTTTAGCTTCGGTTGCTATGCTAACACCACCCATGTTATACCAGAGAAACTTTCATAACAGCGTTGTGATGCCAAACAGCGTCAATTCAGACTGACACCAAACAGCGTCAATTCAGACTGACACACATTCACTTAAGGGGAACTGGGGATATGTATCAGCTGCTTGTGTGACAGTCAGACAGTGAATACTTTAGAGCCGTGTGAGCTAACCCGGAGCTAACGGGAGAATACACTCCCGTGGAAGAGCAGCCAGCACTGCAGCGGTCGGTAAATGCCGCTGAAACACATTAATAAACAATGAACCACGGCACTCTGGAGAAAAGTATAAGGTTGGAGAAGTCGTTATTTAATTTAATCTGGCTTCGTATGATTAAAAGCAACACGATCATCGACCCAACGCAGTCCCCCCCCCCCGTTGTTGTTGTAGTTAGTGCCGTTGGGGAGAAAATCAGCGACGTAAGCTGTGACGTCATGACGCAGCAGCGGCAGCACCAGTCGGACTCTGAGCGGTGTGAACAGAGCGGGAGCTGAACCGAAGAACCGGTTCTGAACCAGAAAAGCTCTAGCACGGAGCTAGAACGGGAAAAGCCTTGGTGTGAAAGGGATAACAGAGCCGAGCTTGAATGACACAAGCACACGTTTATTTCCATGCAACTCTCTGATTGGTCTGGTGTTTTGCCTCTGTTGCATTCACTGAACACGGGAAATTACAATCCTGCCGTCCTCTCTAGTGTCATGATGAGGTTCAGGTAAAGCACGGTTAATGTATTATATTATTGAGGGAGAATTGTCCGGGGCTACAGAAAAAACATTCGGGGCTTTGACGTTTTAATTTGTATTTCCGACAAGTGTTAAAAATATAAATACGATCCATTAAAAGCGACAAATGATCACGAGACAACAACGCATGTATTTAATTTAACAGGGGCACAGAGAGGGATTGTATGGCCCAAGTCCCCCCACTGCTGAATGCCCCCTCTGAGAGAAGTTTGACAAGACACAGGGTTCTTACATATTTTCAAATTGTATACATTTCCAGACTGTATATATTTTTTACACAATATTTTACACCTGAGGACAAAAAGCTAGATGTTAAATTATGTAAATAAATTCCAACTGTTAACATGCTTTTTTCTGACTGTATGTTATTTTATTTTCAAGTAATTGCCAGAAGATGGTAGCTAGGTTGTTTACTGTAGCTCATACAAATACAATAACCTTAACCTGTTAAACACAACAATATTCACGAAACTGTGTCTCAGGGCATCTTAACATTTAACAACCTATTAATGTGTCATACTCACTTAACGGGAAGAAACTCGGATAACTGACGATATGAACAATTTTTACCGAAACAAAACACAAGCCTAATGCAGAGCCTCTGAATTAGCACTAAGAGAAAGAGTGCTAACGCACTTAGCACATAACTCACTTTAGCAATCTTTTATACTTTTTAAACAAGATATCACCTGAAAGCTGAGATTCCAATGGTATACGTATCATCACTGAGCGACCAAAACTCGCGGCAGCGAAGGCTGGCAAAGACAACACACAACTTCACTTTACTGGGCCAAAACGGCAAATATGTCTTACCTTTGCTGTTTTCTACTCAAAAGTTGTGTTCAATGGCATTAAAACACATATAAACGCTGCTGAAGGTTAATCCAATGTCTCTGTGTCCCTTTGAAAGGATTACTGATAATCCATCGTAATATTTATGGCAATGAGCCTAGTTTTTAGTTTTCAGTTTTCAGAGCGTAACGTAGCTTTCGGTTTGGGCAAACTGCGTGCGCATCAATCTCACTCCTCAATGGTAATGTGTAGGTGGATTTAGGAACTTCCCCTCAATTCTATTGGCTCTAACGGTTCAAAAGAGGTGTCAATCACCAAAATCGACCAATGGGTTCCAGAGATATGGCAAATCCACCCAGAGGTGTTTTTTTTTTCTAAACCTCTCTAAAAAGGTCAAATTTAGATTGTTTTGCATCAATCTTGATATAGGGTACTTATTATATGTTATAGTTTGGAATGCTAAAGCTTTTAGTCTACTATCCCATCATTCAAGGGTGGTTTTCACTATAAGTAATGTTTTTTTTTTGGACGGAAACAATAATTTACATGTTCAATCTGAATTTACTTTAAAATAAAAAAGTTCTATATTGATTCTGACTTTTCTACATCCAACTCACAGGTGTATCATTGCTTTGAGAAAAAAGATTATTAATTTACCCCTTTTAGAAGTGAAGATATAGTCATTTGTTCTGGGAATGTCATTTTCGAGCCTGAGACCTGAAAAACAGGCTTGGGGTTAACAGGTTAAACCCAGTCAAAGTCAATGCACAGCCTTTTATTAAAATTGCTTTGCTTAAACAGCACAATAGTATTCCGTTTTTTTTCCTCTTGTTTAAATTAGGGATCGACCGATATGGCTTTTTCAAGGCCGATACCGATATCGATTATTAGTAATCAAGGAGACCGATAACCGATATTTGGAACAGATATACATTTGCAGTAAAATCAGAAAATCTTGGTGTCAAAATGTAGAATAACACAACTTCTTTGAAATGCCTTTTTATGTTTAATGAACTTTTCAACATCTTAAAACTGGTTTCCTCTCTGTGACCCTGAGTAAAGTAAATGAAGTAAAAATAAAATAAAAACTACTAAAACTTGTTCTGAACTTCTGATATTTGAGTCTCACTCATTTAGTAGTCCCAATTCAGCAGCACCAGATTGTGGTGCAGAAAGCAGAGTTGCTGCGAGGCTCCACTAGCATCCGTCACAGTCCCAGTCGTCCCAGTTTCTCCGCTGCGAGACGCTACCCACCCCCCCCCGGTCCCTTTGTAACTGGGAAACTGATAGAATTGGATCATAAGATCGTGGTGCTTTTGCAACTTCAGCATAGGGGGATTGGGATGTTTATTGAACTTCGGCTTTCAACTGATTTACCTCCGAAACACCGCTCACTGCTGCTGCTTGCCTCTGTCTGTGTCTGCGTTCTTCGCACCTGCCTGTAATCTGAGAAGGTCCCGCCTCTCTGGCTGGCTGCAGCCCAGAAAATCTTCAGTGTTGATTGACACTTCAGTAATAGCCTATCAGATAGCGCTGTGGGCGGGACATTGCTCGTGAACAGTGGTGACTGCAGCCAGAGAAACGCCCGCATCAGAGCCAAAGTTGTATCGGCAATTTGATTTTAAAAAAGGCCGATACCGATAATCTGTAAAATGCGGAATATCGGCCTCGATTATCGGCCAGACACTCGATAATCGAGGCCGAGTGTCAAATTGCTTCAATTACTCAAATTTCTAGGTACTTTTTCCACCTCTGGTGTACGGCATGAAAAAGTTCAAGGTGCTGTAATTGTGGGGTGTGTGTTGTTTTGGTAAAATATTAAATATGATCCTGGACAAGACACCTCCTACAAACATGGCACTTACTACTCTTTGTATTGTGATTTTTAAAGTTTTACATTTTCATAAGATTTGAGCTACGAGAAACAATTCTACGATGTGACGCTATCCCGATGTTATCAAGTTGAAAATAAAAAATGTTGTAATGATGATCGTGAGGTAAACAGTAGAAACAGCCCCATCATTCAAATGTATGGGGGGAGCTGTTTCTATTTTTGATTTTTGCAGCTCTGATGTTTGACTCAACACAACATAAAACCCCAAAATACTAAAAGAACATTCACAGTCCTCAATGCAGTGTATATATTATATATTCAGTAATGCATGTTCATTAGTTAATGTAACACCCACTAACTCTGTTTACACACTTTTCATTTAAATACTTGAAAGAAGTGTCTGAAGAAATGTGGTGCAGTTAATCTTTTAGCTGGAAGCCTTGTTTACTCAATAAGCCACTTTGACAGGAAAACTGCTTTTGATAAATTTTCCGAAAGTAAAGAAGCTGAAACTTTGTACCCAACGTCATCAGCCCCTGCCAGTGGATTATAAAAATAGTTTTCTGCAGTAGTGGTGAGAATCACAACCAACTCACTCTTCATAAACAGTGATTTGTGGTCTGCAGAATGATTCCTTTTACAATAAATACCACATTAGCCCCACTTCCAACCACTAAGGAGAAATATCACTTTGGAAACTGAATCTGGGTGAACATTTAGAAAGTACAACAAAATAATTTGGTGCTCAGCAAGAAAAATCAAGCTTCAGCATGTAACACACTAACACTCAAAGCTTCTGACCACGAGCCAAACATCTGAACATGCTCTATATCTTTGATCCAAATACCCTGCTTACAATGTGTGCACATAAAAAAATACAGAAAATTGAACAAACATTTAATTAATGTAACTTTTCACGGATGTCCTCAATACAAAAAGAGTGAGACATTCCCCATTCCAAATCAGTTTGTCCTAAGTTTAGAAACTAGCCTGAACACCTACACAATCGAATGCAATCCAAGAGAATAGATGTGTACAAAATATTGAACTTATAGCGTTCAGTAGAGGTTCACTGATTGATCCAGATAATAGTCAGCTGATCGTATATTTTAACCATGCACCCCACACCAGAACAGACTGACACATGAGAACTGTGAAAAGGTTCTTTAGCGTCAGTGAAGAAGAATTTTTTTTATTTGAAACACCTGCAAGTCCAAATTAAGCTGTGGAGCATCAACCCTAATACCAGGATTTCAACAACATCCATGTCCTGTGACTCTTTGTAAATGACCCAAGATGATGTCATTTTAGTCTCCCCATGTTCTGATATACCATATTTTGTCTGAAAACTTGCGAAATCTAATGCAATAAAAAAAAAGCCATGTAATTAATCATCTTTTTGTGGTTTTGTTGACACCAATCAATACAGGCTGTAGTTAGTGGTGGTGTTGTATGAACTTACATCATAACTTTTTACCCCGACCTTCATGTTTGTAAATGGTTGCGAACACAATATGAACATGATGTCTCCCTTGCATTGTGTGCAACAGCCAGGCCGATACTATACAATAAACCAGTGACCAAGTGTGCTCAAATGTCTCCAATGTAATGTACAGGCAACAACATAATAAAAACAGTCTGAGTCTGGGTGCATTATTGTTCTGCTGTTCAGGGCTTATGTCGAGTTTAAATGTTTGAGCAGCGCCGAGTGAATTGTGGGTCAGCTGAGCTATTTGGCTGCATCTCAGATGAGTCGCAGATAAAACAAAGCAATAAGAGACAGAGGAGTGAAACGAAATGTGCTGCAGACACACCACATTCTGAATTACAAGTAAACACCAGCATTGATTTTATGGTCCTTCAATGAAAGTTCAAATAGATGGCCAACTCAAGCAGAGTGGTGCAAAAATAAACAGTTTTTTGGCCCAAAGATAACATTTTTTCAACCACTTTTCCTAGTCCCAGTGGCTATTTGACTAAAGTGTATTTACCGAAATGTTTGAGTTCTCCATGCTGAGTCATTACCTTGTGGCTGGACAGCTGGTGTGGGTGGCTCGACTTTGGGCAGCTCGACAGGCTTGGTGGGTTGAGATGGTGCAGGTGGAGGAGGTTGCTGCTGCTGCTGCTGCTGCTGCTGCTGCTGCTGCTGCTGCTGCTGCTGCTGCTGCGGTTGCTGTTGTTGTTGTTGTTGTTGTGGTGGTTGCTGCTGCTGCGTGGCAGGGGGTGGACACATCTCTCTGACCACCAGTGAGGTCGGTTTATCTTTATTGTCGTGAAGCATTCGGGAGGCCTATGATGGTTATCAAGGGAGAGAGGAAAACATGAGAAAGTACATCTGCAACAGTGAAGAAAGTGTTCAGTGACTCATGAGCTAAAAACTATTTGAGCTTGGAAAATATCACACCAGGAATCTCTTAGCCAAAGATTTCTGTTTTTTTAACATGTATGTCTTGGAGTAGAAATGGAATGTGTGGGTTTTGTTGCAACGGTAGCTTTTGTTTTGCTGCTTACTTTAAAATAAAGGAAAATCAAGAGAGTGAGCAACACAAAATGTTAGGATCAAAAGTCGTGTCCCGTAAGAAACAAATGTGGGAGAAATACAATGAATCACATTAAGAAGCAATTCTGGTAACAATGAATAATATGATGCCAGGAAAAAGATATATCCTAGGAGAAATGTTTAGTTTTACCTTCGTTTGTCCTCTTTTTAATTCATTTTTCAAATATTTTTAAATGAAGTAGATCATTTTCAACAAAGCAAGGTGAGGCTGTGCCAGCTTTTACAGGCAATAATATGACCTTTGCCTTATCATTGATGCTGGCAACACTTTAAATGGAATACATTAACATTTAAATGAAAAGTTATGATCATTCTCATTAGTTTGAGACCGTGGTGTGCAAGTGTACTCACTGTTGGATGTATTTGCAGGTTGATGGCAGTGAGCTGGACGGGCTGAGCTTTGGCGTGGTTCAGGGAGGAGTGGAGGGCGTGGGGGCTGATGGTGGAGTGGAATATGGTGGCCTGCTGGCTGGGCATGGAGGGCTGGTGCGGAGCAGGTTTGGGCAGCACAGGAACTGGGTGCTGAGACGGTTGAATGGAGGCTGTTTGCAGCAGCTGGCCCGCGGCCCTCTGGGAGGCTTGACTCTGATGGACCACAAACTGCTGTTGCTGCTGCTGCTGCTGCTTGTGCTGCTGAACCAGGGAGTGGGGCTGGATATGAGTGTACGCTGGAACGAGAAAAACATTTGTTTTTTTTATTCATTAATTCAGCTTACTGCTGTGCTCACCACCCACAGATAGTTCACTTGACATACTTCCTCAAAGCCAATTTCCATTTGAATTAGGTCCTACAAAATATACTTATCGTATTTGGTTCATTTAGACAACTGGTATGCAGTTTTGCTTTTTTGCTTATACCCGTGTGTTAATGTGGCCACAGACGGTGGAAAAGGGGAAACATTCATAGCATGTTTTACTATACTATTGCTTCAATACTATATAATATGTATAATATATGAAATACTTGCTTTGTCAATACTATTGACAAAGTAAGAATTGTACATTACATGGTGATGAAACTAAGCAAACAATTATGGTCATCTCTGTACTGTTTATAAGGCCACAATGGAAAACATGTACTGGTTCCTGTTAATGCAAATTCAATATCTTGGACATTAATTGGACGAAATAAGCATTTGATGTCACGTTTGGCTTTTTTTCAGATCAATCTATTATAAGAGTAATCATTGCAGCCCTATTTTCTTATTAGACAGTGCATGCAGTAGTCTTGTCAAACATTATTGTCTTATATAAAAAGGTGAGATCTGTGACAGAGCATGAGCAACATTTATCTCATGCGTGCTGACAACTCACCACACTCTATATATTAGAGAGCAATGACAAATGTAGCCTGCTTCACAAAAAAGCATGTTTGTAGCTTTCCCTTCACCTGTGTGCCCCTTGCTGACAGGATGTCATATTATGAGCTCGATGAAAGGTGCACAGAGAGGCTCCCTGTAGCAGTTTGGGTCTGACCATTAGTCACAAAACGTTTCAAAATGGCCTGTCACCACCTGTCAGTGCTGTAGTGGGTAAAAAGACATCCTGAGCTCATAACTTGCCTGGAAAGCCCGAGACACAGCGCATCAATCTTGCATTGTGGGAGCATGTCTGAGTGGGCGAGAGTTGCTCAGCGGAAGTATCCCAAGGCTAGTCTAATATTAGAAATACTCCAGGAACCAACATGCAGAGCTCTGACACTCTGTATGGAGTTAATGTTGAGTCAGGAGCTCCAAGCCCCTCTGCTGCCTCTTTGATCTTTTACAACTCTACCAGGAAATACTAACAACTAATTGACTCATTTCTAACCCAAACAAGAAGTGACTCCTGTACAGTACAAAACATAAGCTTTTGAGCTGTGTGAACATGGAGGTGTGTTCGTGATGTTAATAAACCCTCTAATAAATCAGTTTATGGAAAACTGCCAAGTACATCAGCGTTTGTCTCAAATCCCCCTCGCCCCCACCCTGTTCTTTTCATGATGTTTTCTGTGGGATCGGCTCCATCTGGTTTCAAAGTTTCCCTGCGAGGCTCTGACCGCAGTCTGTGCCCTGCTGTGGAATATATACATGTTTCTATCCAGCAGAGTGCATGCCATTTGTCCCTTTAATGCTGAAAACGGTTGCTTTTTCACATGGCGAGACTCTGTGAAACCCACCAACAGAAAATCTGTCTATTCAGTCTTCAAAAGTGAAGGCCTTCATTTGCTCATTCAGAGAAGGATGGATATGAGCCCAGGATGGGTGAATACATCCAGAAGCAATAGAATTAAAGATGTCAGCTTAGAAAGATGGTTCAGGCTTGAAAAGCAATTTAAACAGGCACTTTGGGGTAAGATAACATCCATCATGGATAAGCAGCTACACCTAAGGGTGTCAAAAATAATTGATTGTAAGAGGAGTTATGAATTGCTCTTGAAAAAAAATTCTACAAAACTCCTAAATATTAATTTTTTAGAAAACCGCAATGTTAAAGGTCCCATGACATGGGCATTTCTACTGATCATATTTCCATTGTTGAGGTATACTAGAATAGATTTACATTGTTCAATGTTCCAAAATCACATTGGTTTCTCATACAGCATCTCTGTATAGTATGTGTATTCACTCTCTGTCCTAAACGGCTTGTTGGAGCCCCCCCCTCTCTATGAGCCCACTGTGCTCTGATTAGTCTACCACCGTTACAGCGGAACATCAGTGATTATGTGTTACAATGGCGTTTGTTAGCAACCAGAAAATGACACCAGTAATGACAAACAGATGAGAATGCTGCGTGGGGTCTGGGTGCCGTGTTGGCGGGACGTTGCGGGGCTCGCTGCTCCGCCCTTTGAGGCTCGAGGAGCGGACAGTGTGAGCTGGATTACTGGTGTTGTTTCCTGGTTGCTGCGTAGGGTCTGCGAGACAGCGAGACACCGCGGAACTCAGCCTGAGCACACACACACTCACAGCCTGAGCTCAGAGTGTGTGTGTGTGTGGGTGTGTGTGTGTGTGTGTGTGTACGGAGCTCCGCGCAGCACCGCGGCTGAGAAGAGATAAGGCTGAGTGAGTGTGTGTGTGTGCGGAGCTCCGCAGCGTTACGTCACTATGACCAGGAAGAAAAAAATGGAAAAAGAAAAATCTCCAACGAGGCGTTCTGGGGCAGCATAGACAGGTATTTTCTGTGTTAGAATTGTACTCGCTACAGGGTGTACTTTGAGGGTTTGTGACTTTGCAGACCGTTTACATGCAGAAAAAGCTACATACTGTAACACACAAGGGGACGGGTAATAACCAGAAAAGCATGTCATGGGACCTTTAAAGATGAAGAGAAACAATAACATGATAGGAGCCCTGATCTGGGATGATTAGACCATCAATGGAGAAGTTGACCAACAGAAAACTAAGTTTTCAACAAATATTTTTTGTATATTTTTTAAACATCATCCTTTTTCAAGCGAAAATAGCAAAACACATTTACCATAATAACTTCAATAATTTAATAGTTAAGAAATGTTTTTGACTTTTGGTTCAGATAAAACAGGACGTCCGTTTGGGCTCTCTGAGGGGGTAATTTAAGTTTTTCACATTGTCTTTTACATTTATAAAAAAAAATAGACAAACTGGAAACTATTTAATAGATAATAAAAACCATGGGAAAATGGCATTACTCGTGACAATAGGGCATGAGAAAGAACTCATGAGAAAGAACTCAAAGAATCTATTATTATCTAATATTCTGTCACTGAAAATACAAAATACTCCAACTGCAGCAACTTACACTTTACGATTAAAAAAGGTAATAAAAGCACTAACCTGACCTTAATGATTTTAATGATTTTAATGATTATGTGCTCGAAAATATGGCAATAAAATAAGAAAAGAAAGAAACTACAAAAACCAACCACCTACACATGATTCAAAATGCACCTCGAACAGTTAAGAATTGAATAGTAGCACTTTCTATCAAGATCTCACAGAATCATATGGTAGCAACAGATTCCAGCATTTGTTAATGATAGGAGGGGGATTTCTGAATCATCACACAACGGAAACCACCAGCCCTCCCTGTGTATCCTGACAACTTTCTCAAGCCCCTAATGAGGAACAGAGAGAAGTCTTGGAAGAAGAGGAACACAGGGGAATCTTTTTAGATGCCTTTCCCCCTCAAGGTCTTGGAGTTAAGGACTGGAATGACCTATCCGCCCCCCCCACACTCACACCCACACACGCATGCAATCATACAAAATTCAGTATGTGGCAGTGGCCACCCCATAGACCTCCTACTCTATCTGCGTGTTGTTGCACAATGTCCTGCGATGGAGGACAGTTAACGTCCCCGATGGGTTTGTAGAACCAGGCCCTGGAAAATCCCTGAGTTTCCACTTTCTCACCGACTGCCACTCTGGCTTTCACTCATGAAACAAATTCCGATCTAAAACAACAGAGCAGCAGCAGGCTTTACACCATCTTTCCTCACTCTAATACAGATCATCATCAAAAGAATTAAATTCCTAAATGAATCCAGTTCCTGTTTGGTTTCAACACTCCACAGTTTCAGACAAAAAACTGTTGCCGTCTCACGTTAATGTCAAAACACATTGGCAAGCTCTCAGGGAGAAAACCAAATTACTCTTATTAGACAAGATAAGAGAGAAGAAAGGAAGGTGTTATACATTTTAAGTGGTTTTCCTTATTTCTTGGTAATCCTTTTCAAGTGAAACTGGCAACTGCTTCTGTTGCTAGCAGCTACATAATTATGCCAAGTCAGATTTTGAGTGCATATCTGTTCTTTTAATCTGCCAGCACTTTGGGGGGTTTCATGCTGTGTCTTTTTATAATAAGGTGCTGAATCTTTAGTGCCAAGAGGAGGCGATGACAAACACTTACGGCAACAAGCCAGATGCAACATTTGTTTCCAGTCCAAATCCTATTCAGGGGACCGACTCTTAATGATGGTAATGTTCACAGTAGCAGAGACAATGCTCTAAAATGGTCTGCCAAAACATTGATGAGCAAAAATAGCCAAACAAAATGAGTCACATCTCTTCTGTTTCTATTGTTCTCTCAGATCAGACCAGAATGATTTCTGCTGAGTCAAGTTCAACCCTAATAAAGTAAAGATGTGTTTGATTCATGATAGTTTTCACAATAACATTGCTTAGTTGCAGACGTTTTTTTAATTATTAAGATATTATTTTACCATTTTATTTGTTAAACTTGTTAAAGTGCTATCTTTTGCGAAACAAGTTCATATGAAACAGCCAGTGAGGAGGTTTTTGTAATTTGTTAGACTGTTTATGCTGGTAATGAAGACTTGGTCAACATTTAAACCAAATGTTTTCTTTTACAGCCTAGCAAAACCAGTTTAGGTTGAGAGAAAAAATGATGAATTGTGTTTATGAATAAATGTGTGACACTTATTAATAACACATTAATACACTGTGCCCAGGAGGTTATGTTTTCAGTTTGGTTTGTTTGTTTGTCAGTGGTCTGATTTTAACAACATTTGGTGGAGGGGTGTAGTATGGCCCACAAATGATCCATTTACATGGTGGATCGATTTTTTACTTTTATTAACATTGCAAGACAGGGCATGGGCTTTGCCGATGTCACTTGGAGTGCCTTTCTAGTATTAAATGTAACAATTACGCTCCTTTTAAGAGAACTGGTTTCCTGCAGCAAGTTATTGTTTATATCCCTATCTATTGGCCATAACAAGACACTAAACATCAGCCATAAAAGTAGTTGTTGACATTTTGGATTTACAAGAGACAGTGGCATGTCAGTAGAAAAGCCTTCCCCTGATACAACATTGCAAATAAAGTGCATAATGACCGAGTCACTGTCAGGTTGAATCCGAGCTTTCATACTGAATCCTCCCATCAGGCGGACACACAGCCTCACGTGCAGTGTACTAACTCCTTGCATCTCATGTGCACACCTGTCCCTCATGGCCTGCTGCTATGGCAACCCATGTTAATTTCTCCAGACAGCATGCAGCCAGATTTGCAGCCTCCATCCTCCCTTTCATTTGATGTGAATCCATTACTGCAACAAAGCATGACACAGTTGTGCACTGACACGCTCACATAATCCCAACTCCCCCTCCCTTCCTTGCAGACACACACATAAACACACGCCCCACAACATACACTACACACACATAAAAGCAACATTATTTCTAGGGGTGAACACAGTTACTACTCCCAGCACATGTACATATATTTTTTGCCTACATTTCTGTGAAATGTGATGTCTTATCAGGAGCCTCTTGAAAATGTGATAATGCTTTGCTTATCTTGCAAACAAACGGGTCCAGATTTGATTTAATCGGCTTGTACTGCTGGCATACTCACAATCATTCACACTAAAAACAAAAAAACAGCTGCTGACATTCAAAGTGATTTAGAAAGACTCTTGCGTGGCACTGTGCCTTTCACAGCTTCCAAATCACAAAGCAGCTCGACTGTTCCAGACACAGCCCAACACATTTTATTTAACACGGCTGGTTTCACCCCCTCTGAGAGAATGGGATTGTGATGCAGGCACTGACATGTCACACTCACAGCCAGAGATATTATCAGGGCAAAGTGTAAAAACTCATTTCTCATCTAGTCTTGCTATAAACACAGGAACACATTTCTGCTGTACAGATGACAGCTGCCTGAAGCCCCAAGTCTATTTCAAGGTTTGAGATGGACATCTGTTTCAAAAGAGAAGCACACAGCAGCTGACAGACAATTTGCCAGTTTAACATAAAGGAGAAAAAAGATCCTATGGAATATCAAGTGTCAGTGAATCGGAATAACACAAAGCCTCTAAAAAAAAAAGCAGACCGTCTATATTTATCATACACACCTGTACCAAGAGTTAGCAGCCATGCTAGCAGCTCTGTGAGGTGAAACTAACGCTAACATCATTATGGCAACATACTCACTTCTACAATCCTTTCATGTTGATTTATGCAGGTATAAAGTTCAGTTTATTCATCGTTTAAATGTAGCATGTAATGTTTATTTGCTAATTAGCAACAAGGCGCAGCTGAGGCTGATGTTTATTTTTGCAGGTATTTGGTTGAAAAGGAAAGTCTGGATTGTCTTTGATTGCATGTTGAGATATTTAACAGGATACGTTGACGGTTTGACCTGCTAGTGCACTTCAAGGAAAATAAAAGGGACTGTCAGAATCATAACAATTCTTCGTCGGTTGTCCAAAAATGTCTATAAAATGTAATGATAACCAATCCATTAGTTGTTGAGATATTTTGGTGGTCGGCCCAAATTTTACATCCTTAATTCTGCTATCAAAAGTAATACTTGATTAACTGACTCATTATTTGCACTCCTTAATCAATTGCTAGTTTCCTTTATTGACCCTTAGACCAAACTCTTAAAGCCTTTGTGAAAAAGATTATTTCCATGTGGCCTTGGTATAAGCCCTGCTTGGATCCGTTTTACTGTTACGAGGCCTGCACCGGTCAGACTTTAACCTTATTTTGAACTGTTCAGGCAGTTGGGTTGCAGACTCCACTTACCTGGAGCAATCAGTGGCTGAGCGCTGATAGATGTGACGTTGCGGCTCATGTTTATAGCTCGGGGTTCTGAGTTGTCCCCCTTCTTCCCAGCTTCAGATGAACTGTCAGAGGAGCCGCCCTTTGCTCCTGTGGAGGCCTGCGCTACTTGGCTTGGATTCTTCAGATTGGCCGGCTGGATGGGAACGGGGCTCTGCTTCAGACTGAGAGCCTGCAGGGTCTGAGTGTGAGAGCAGGACGTGGTCGCCCCCTGCTGGCCACGGATAGCTAGATTCTGGACCTGATTCTTAGAAAGACAAAATGATGGGAAATGATTGATAAACAGATTTACAGAGTGGATTGAAGGCAAGATATTATCAGTATTTTTATTCATGTACTCTTTTGCAAACCAATGAAGAATGGTCTGATTAAACATTCTATGGGGAGGCAGTAGCTCAGTCTGTAGGGATTTGGCTCGGTAACCGAAGGGTCGCCGGTTCACGTCCCGATCGTACCAAAATACGGAGTGTGGAGTGCTAGCTGGAGAGGTGCCAATTAACTTCCTTAGCTGAGGTGCCCTTGAGCAAGGCTCTGAACCCCTAACTGCTCCGGGCACCAGACGACTGGCAGCCCCTTCGCTCTGCCACCTCTCCTATCCTGCATGTAGTCCTGTTTGTGCATGTGTTCATGTGTATGAACTATGGGTGTGTAATGTAAAAAATATATGTTTTTTTAATAAAGTTATTCTTCTTCTAATAGAGCAGTACAGCAAGTACAAATATTTGTTAAATATTGTCATATCACATAGTTTAGTGCAGGATTTGAGCTGCGATTTAAACTTTAAGTGATAAAGTCCAGCAATTTAGCGTTTATTTTGAGTGCGAAAGTGTTTTCTAATGGATGTACCTGTGAGGAGGCCTGCGAGGAGCTCTCTGACTGGACAGCCGTCACTGTGGCAGTTGGAGTGAAGATGAGCTGCGGGGACAGAGGAACCGCCCGGCCCAGACTCCGGGCCACCTGCACCAGGTTACTCTGCTGGGCCTAAAGCATCACACACAGAGAAGAAGAACTGCATGAGTCAGAAAATGCCTCTGGGATTGGTTCTTCACTAATCTTTAATAAAGTACTGAAAGTAGCCAGAGAACAAACTCATCAAATCTAGAAGGGCACTAAGAGAGAGTAAAGATGACTATGATGACCCTCAGGCACAGAATATGATTAAGCTAAAGGACCCTTTTCATCTGCTTAGAAGAGAATGTGCCAAGATTTTGATCTCTTTCTTGACAAAATTGTATTTTTTAACAAAATAAGAAAACGTTTATTCAGTTAGATGGATTTTTGTAGTAACACTGTTTTGAACTTCTAATGTTTGTATGTGTGGGAAAACAAGCAAGAAAAATGGAAATTAATACAATCGGGCTTGATATTAAATCATATGCACTAATTTAACACCAGAAGACTCAACAAGAAATTCAAGCGATGGTTATCTAAACTGACAAATGTGTTTTCTCTGTCTGCCCGCAGCATCAAACACATCTGACAATGCTGTGTACTTGGTCATAATGAGGAAGCAGAAACAGAGTATGTGCCAGATGCCAGCTGATAGCAAGTTAAAAACGACAAGTTACCCACAACCAGCTGCAAAACAGGCCAATAACGACTGAATAATGCTTCAGCAACCTTAATTCAAAGCAAGTGATCCTGCAGCCAAAGCATAGAGAACACCTGTGACATCCAAAACATTTTTAAACATGCACACACAGTCTCTTCTGTGCTTGTAATGAGCCCTCTGGGGCCAGATAGATTATCTTGGCAACCTTCTCTGGTGGAATAATGTAAATCAAGCACTAACTACTGCAGAGTAGCACACACCAATCCTAAAACACACAGAGGGGAGAAAAACACGAGCTGGATAGTGCATATTTATTCAAGCAGTATGTGTGTGAGGTTGTGTTTATGCATATATGCACACTCATGACTGTGCCAGTGGCTATGCCCCGCGAGTGTGCAGTCTCACCATCTGTGCACGCAGGTACATCTGTGCCTGGCTGGCTGTGAGCGTGGGGCTGGATGGGCTGCCCAGTAGAACAGCCTGCTGGGAAATACTGGTGGGGGTGGAGCTTATGCTCTGGGCCCTGCTGATGAGCTGCGCTGCTGCCGGGGAGGTGGTCAGGTTGATCTGAAGGGAGAAGATGAACAGGATAATTAGGTCATACAGTAGTGTCAGTTTTACCAGTTGTTACTTAGTCTTAGTCGTGTGTTAAATGTCCTTAGTCAAACTCATGCTGTTTTATTTAAGTTGATTAAAAGTATTGGCATTTCACTCCTAGCTTAGTCATTGAAAAGAAAACCGTAAATGTTAATATAGTTTCAGTCAATCAAAATTGCGAACGTTTTAGTTGTTTTGTTTGTCAATTTTATATTAAAGGTGGGGTAGGTCATTTTGGAGAAACCAGCTCGAGATCGCTAGAATTTGAAAATACACAGCCGGAAAAAATCTGCCACTTCCTTACAGAGCCCCTCCTCCAACACACACGAACGCGCACATGACCAATGAGGGCACGAGATAAGTTTGTGCACAGATGGAAGGCTGACAGGCAGGTATGCCATCCAGTTATTTTAGACGGGCCGGCTAAAATGATTGGTCGTGCTTTTTACAGTACTACGGCTTCCACAGATGACATTTTTTTAATGTATTTATTGTCAAAGCATTTAATATATTCATTGCTATCGGGATGTTAAGAGCATTCCATGGAATATAACAAAAAGTGTTTCTGAAATAAATTACATACCCCACCTTTAAACATTTCAGTCAATCAAGTCGAGCCAAAATTACACAGTTATTTTCTCCGAACTCTGTTGATATCATTGTTAAGTTAAACTTAAGTAAGTTAATTACTCTTTTCTTAAGGTGTGCTGCTGGTGTAGTCCTGATATCGGGCACGCAACACAGGAAATGGAACTGCTGCATTGATAAAAACAAACAGTTTATAACATTTGATGTCCTTTTTTTGTCAATGATTATCTTTTTTAAAAACCACATTTAAGTCTTGCCTTTTTTGTCAACAATATTTATGTTAATATAGTCACAGGTAGTGATTAATAAAGTCGCTACTGCCTCGTCCTAGTCATGGAGGAAAAGGTTGTTGACAAACTTAATTAATCATAGTCAACAAAGTAAACAATATTATGCACTTCCTTTACTCTACTGATATCTAAATCAATACACCAATTACATTCGACCAAGACATAACAAATACAAGATCTTGAGTTTCTGAACATTCTTACTACCAAATAATAAATGCAATAGAAAAGTAAGCACAGCTCACATGGCTGGTGTGGCGCAAAGTTCCCTTAAAGCTTCTTGGTGCCAAAATCTATTTTAATTTAATTTAATGGACAGAGATAACTTAAACTCTCGAGGCTCTTAGGAGACAGGTCCAACTCTGAACTCTTACCGTAGCTTGAGTTGTTCCTGTTTGCTGGGATGAAGTGCCGTTCTGTGAAGAGCTTTGCCGGCCAGCAGCGATACTGGCCTATTACACAGCAAAAGAGAAAGAGAAAGAGAGAGAGAGAGAGAGAGAGAGAGAGAGAGAGAGAGAGAGAGAGAGAGAGAGAGAGAGAGCGAGAGAGAGAGAGAGAGAGAGAGAGAGAGAGAGAGAGAGAGAGAGAGAGAGAGAGAGAGAGAGACAGACAGACAGAGAGACAGACAGACAGAGAGACAGACAGAGAGAGAGAGAGAGAGAGAGAGAGAGAGAGAGAGAGAGAGAGAGAGAGAGAGAGAAAAGAGAAATGTACCATTTCCTGAAACATGTCTTGAGGTAGGGCAACAATAACAGCATCAGCTTTACACTGTGACATTGATTCTTTCAAGTGATGAGCGCTAGCTGACCTGCTGGACAGCAGCCAGGCTCTGCAGCTGAGCGGTGCTGAGGTTGTGCTGCTGCTGGAGGGCAGCGGTCTGTAGCATCAGATGCTGCTGCTGAGCCGCGTACATCTGCTGCAGGTACTGTGCTGCTGTGTTAGGCTGTCTGTGTAGCGCCTGCTGGAACACCTGCATATAAAGGATAGACGGATAGATTTTTTGTTTTATCATGCAGCACATCACACACTTTTATTCTGAGAGAGGAATTATTAAATGTATGTCAGCTTGTCATTTTCAATGCTAGTTTTTATCTTATACATTTGGTGGTATGTATAGTTTCTTAATATTTAGGTGTGTAGAGCTAAGCGTAAGAATTTCACTGAACAGTGCAATTGCCTGTTATACTGTACGTATGACAATCTAATATCTTGAATCTTGAATCAGGTAGTTCAGTAATGTTGAAAAAAAGTTAGGATATATTAAATTCAGTCAGGGTGTAAAAATTATAGTAGAAAATGGTAGTCAAATAATTGGTTGAGTTTATTAACTCATCTTTCCAAATCAATGTGCTTATATACACGGTTTAAACAGCTTTTGAAAAGTGAAAGTCAATCACTTTTAAAAAGGAGCCTAAACCAAAACCATATATGCTCTCAAAGCCTTTAAATATTTATTATAAATGCAACCTCAAAAAATATTGTTGTATACCCAAAGCAATCAATGGCAGATGGGAAACTGAACTTTTTTGCAAGGAGGATATTTTAATTCAAGCTAAATCCTAACCTTGAAAACATGTTAAAAAAAAAGAAACTTCAAATCCAATTGTGTTCTGAGGAATTTTAGTTTCAGTTTTAGGTCATAGAGTGTGTCACCCAATAATTGTCTTCAAGAAAAGTCTCATCTGCGCCTTGACCCGATTATAACAGTTAAACCTCCATCCATTGAGAATAACTCTTTGCCCTTCACCTCTGAAAGTACCCTCTTCCTTGTTGCCAAGTAACCAAAGAGGATGTTGACTTGAGGTCCATAGTGTCAAAGAAGCATCCGGACACACACATCTTGAAATGGGGGTGAAATTGGTAGCAGAGATGCGAGACAACACTCATTGGCTTTAAAGGAGCAGCAGCCCCTTTCCGCCCAGAGAATGCCGTTTGCCATTTGATTGTCACCGGTCTGAGCACAAGTAAAGGCCCACTGAATATAACAAAAACCTAGCTGTCAGAGGATCAGCACTAAAAGCTTGGGTGGACTTTATTCAGGGAGAGGGTAAGCCTGTGTAGAGGATTATCCCGGGGTCAAAGGTTCAAGAGCACAAAGCACATAAAGAATTCCTTTAACCTGAAGAGTTCTGTGAGATGGCCGTCATTTCAGTTTCCTTTATCAGTGAATTGATTAGGATGACAAATGCCTCTTATTTCATTCTGATTAGAAAATGATGTGTTGACATGTATGTGGTGCATGTGGTGTAATATACACCAACAGAGGGCAGTAATGTAAAGGAAAGTATGATCACCTCTTTATGTGTATGCAGATGTCACACACAATGTAAGCTGCAAGGATTAGCCGAGCAATAGACCTGGTGATTGACATTAACCTAGTGAGCAACTATTTTGATGATCCATTCATGTTTAATGTGATGTTTCATGAGAAGATGGCAGAAAATGCCGTTTCCTTTGCATAAAAAATAAGGACATGTTCTGCTTTTCTGTTTATTCTCATATAAGATTGAAAACATTTTAACTTTGGACTTTAAGAAACTGGGATGGACATGTTCACTTTGTCAGCCCTTCATACAGAATCCTGACTGAATATCAAGCCGTCAACAATTTCATCTCAACACTAAGGAACTCACCTGCACTGTTTGCCGGTCGGGTATCCCACTGTAAACAGATATCTGAGGCACCGCCTGCCTCCCTGCTACAGTACTACTACTGGCACTACTGTTTGTGTTACTACTACTACTACTACTGCTGGAGGGAGTGGTAGAAGTAGTAGCAGTAGTGTTAGAGGTACTACTGCTGCTGGCAGCTGTGGTGCTGGAGGAGGTGGCGGTGGAGGCGGTGGCGGTCCCGGTGCTGTTGGCCGTGGGGGCAGGGGCCCCCGGCTCACTCTCCATGGTGCCCTCTGCTCTTCTCACCTTTGACCCCCGACTCTTCTGAATGGCTCTCCTGTGCCTGAGGACAGGGGAAAGGCAGAGCACATGAGAACATGCAACACTTTCTTTGTAACTAAGTTCAAGAAAACAGAATGTCTTTCTTCAATAAAAAAACAATAAAAACATTTTTTTTTTTTAATTGAGCAGCTATACAGTAGCTAAAGAACACCTTCACATATGTTCAGCAGCTCAACCTCAAGAAAAGGTTAGACACATCAAATGTAAAGGAAAACTTGATCTCATAATGAAGTCATAAGGGGAGTAAAAAGGCTGCAAGTAAGAGCAAGTTTTATTATCAGTTGATCTGCGAGCTATTTTCCCAATTGATGGATTCAATTTCTTGTCTTTAAAATATATAACAAAAATAAAAGAATGCTGTTTGTCACCGCTCAACATGATCAGCTTATTAACCATTTAATTTATCGTTGCAGCTTCAATGAAACCAAATGATAGGAGTTCACAAGCCCTGAATTCTAATATACTTGATTAATCCACAATTCTATTTCCATATACTGATTTGCCATCGACTGCAGCTGGACTTAGAGCAGTAAATACAACAGCAATGTTCTGCATTGTACAAATGTGCAGCAGGATGAGAGCCAGCTGGGAAATAAATGATTCTTTTAAAGTCTGTTTATTTTCATGCACACATTCGTTACTGGAGTTAGTATTACATTTAAAGGAGCCTCTACGAATACATTCCAGTATTGTCCTTTGACTACTGGAAGAAGCTCAGTTTTTAAACTCTACACACAGTGTATGGATTCATTCTCCAAAAACTAAAAAAAGAGAGGCATGCATGTTACAACAAAGCTGGCTAGAGAAACACACAAAAATGCAATTTGGGAAGCTAATGATTTCCAGTGAATTAAGCATGAAAGGCAGAGTGGCTGGCTTACATTAGCGGTCTCCGTATGTTTGAGAGTTTCACATATACAAGATGAAAAGAGGCATTCGGTGCAAGTTAATTAGAAGGCAGCAGAGGCGGTTATAATGACTCAAACTCCCTCGCACACACTCCAACTGAGACGCTCCTAACCATGATACATAAAAAAAAGTATTAGCCTTGATCAGAAAATTGCCAATACATATGTCAAACCATACTATATGACATACACTGTCTAAGTCTTCCATTTCTTCTCATGAGCGTGGAGGAGAACAGAACACATGATTAAGGACCTGTCCATAAAAGCCTTCTTAAGGTTGGTCCCCTGGTGCACAGCTATCCATTAGCACAAGAGGAAACGCTTCAGAGCTCCCCAGACAGAGAAGATGGAGAAGGCTCCAGCTTGAAAGGTGATGAGTTTGGAAGAGGATGGGAGGAGAGACAGGCTCATTCCTTAGTGGAGGCAAAGATGACATTTTAAGAATATAAAGAAAGTTCAGAAGTCTTTGAGGAAGCGGAGCTCCAATAGAAACAGGCAGACTTGAGATGGTAGTGGTGTACTAGAGAGGATGACGTGGGATTAATGAACGAGTGTGTATGTGGAGGGGGATTCAAACGGCATGACAGCTGATGTAACAGAGCTGAAAAGAGAGGGCAAACAGGGAGGATGGAATTTCTAGCCTTGGGGTTAGAGGTGTGAGCATTAAGTTATAGGGGGAGGCAGGAAGGGAACGAGAGTGAGGGGTGAAGGTTGAGGGAGCAGGTTGAGGATTTTAAAGGGGTTGGAGTGGAAACGAGAGTGTGATGGAAATAATTAAATAAGGAGCTGTGCTGCCGCCATGCTGCAATTCTTAAGCTATTTCCTCCACCTCCTCCTTCTCATTACTCCTTTGAACGGATTAGGGGCCAAAACAGAGCTCTTTAGCCCCACTTATGCAACAAAGCAGACTTGGAAACAAATTGCAATCTTACAAAAACATATGCTTTCCTTTAAATTGAAAGCCCTAGTCACTGAATGAGAAAAAGGCTGGAGTTGAAAGAATTGTATGTTCTATTAATGAAAACTTGAGATGATCATGAATAGGCAATTAGGAAATTAGTAGTAGATCTTTCATGTTTTTATAAAAAAATCATATGACATGAAAAAATCTTGTCAACACCCTTCTCTAAGAAATCATTGTCAGGGTCATTAAAATGAAATGAGGACGATTTAAATAAAAAACTGAAAAAACCCTCAAATGAAGACCCAATTAACAGACATTTCTGCAGTGTCTGTCGTGAATTTGAAAAAGTCTTGTCCATACAACTGAATATAGCTGACATCTAGTCCTGCTTTCTGGTTGTAAACAAAGCACTGCCACTGCCTGCCTGTATGCCGTCATTAGCCTACATCCCACTGTCTGCTTCCCATTGCCTCTTCATGTGTGTGGAGACGGGAGGGAATCCCCTCTGGTAATGATGCCTTCATTGCCTGTCTTTCTGAGAGGAGTCACCCATCCATCAGTGAAGGGGTGCAATGGCGAAAACAACACCACCCCCACTCCAAACCTTAACCCCACATCTACGACTTTAATCAAGCTTTGACCTGGAAAAACCTGGTACCCAACGCCAATGTGTTTGTGTGAGCACATCAAAGCAGCCCGTTATACATTTGAAACAGTCGCTCGGTCAGCACCATAACAACACATTTGCACTCCTTACAAAAAGCATATTGATCTACTCGTAGTGGCTTTACAAGACCGCAAGAACTGACAGTCAGATTTGTGTCTAGAGGTTTTGCATCGCCTGCAGGAAGATGAGAGCTGTTATGAGACTGTCAGACAGACTGGCTGTCTCTACAGCGCTTAGAGGAAGTGCATCCATCAGTGTTCCTCCCTCAGTACGCATATAGGAAAACTCTGATGACCCACATTAAAAAAAACACCGCTAGAAAGCTGCAAAAATCTATTGATGCTTTAATAGCCAGGAGAGAAATGTATGCTTGCATGTGTTTGTGGAGGGGTGCTCTGCTGCTGAGACAAAGCCCTCTAACCCTGGTGCTCCTACCTCCTCCGGCCCCCCCGACGCGATGCAGGGGTATGATGCCCCATCCCCCGGGAGCGTGCTGTCCTCCTGCCGGATGCTGTTCCTCTTTGTCTGCCTGACTGAGTGTCTGGCTGGCTGACGGACTGAATGAGCGTGTGCGAGTGTGTCGGATCCGAACCCCAGCACCTCTCGTCTTCTACCCCCAACACACAGCGAGCTCGTCGTCCCAGCTTCAACACCCCACTCCACCAACCAGGCCGCGGCCTGCCTCCTGATTATGTGGTATCCTAGCGACAGCCAACGGGGTGCCTATGGAATCCCCGTCCAGAGCAGCGTGCTGATTGGACGGCAGGATTCTCTCTAATGAAGATGATGGTAATGATTTACTCAGTCTTTCCCCTCCCCCTCTGCCTGAATACTGATTTTTTTTTAAGGATGCTTGGACCCTACAACATAAGGTAGAATGTAAACACCATCTAAATGTGTTTTTATTTTTTAAGTAAAATCTCAGATAATGAGGCACTTCATAAAAATTACAGCAGAGGTAGCCTACTCTTTGTTTGTGAAACTGAAGGCTCTATATCCATTTTAGTGCCTCAGATCTGAGGGTCTGCAGGTTGGGTTTTAAACCATTAATAGAGAGAGCACCGTTTTCACAAATAACCAGCAGCAGTAAGTGGGACCATTTTGTATCACAACATTCAGCGATGGACAGGAGAAGTGACTTATGGCCAGCCTGAACATTCAACCAATTATCGGAATAGAAAGACAGTAATCATCATCCATTTTGTGACAAGAGTGATACTGAGGCTAGAGAGCAAAAAAATAAAAAGGAATCGCGGTCCATCATGACGCCCACTACCCAGTGTCTGCCCGTTTAGTGAAGTACTGGTTAACTACATCTTTAACCAAATGTACCCTTATCCTGCCTGATCAGCACCATTTAAGCCAAATCCTAACTGATGATACAAATCTGACTCGATGATGGGATAGCCATGTCGCAACAGGAAAGCATCAAACCACCCATTTATTTCACGTACGGAAATGAAATGCAAATTAATAAGAGTAGAAATTCAGATCCCCTGCAAAAATGAAATGAGATAGCGTTGCAGCTGAATTCAAACCTCTCTAATGACTACAGGATTCATTTATGTGGAATAGGATAGATAAAGAGAGAAGATAATGGCATACTTATGCTCCGTCCCACCACATTAACACGCCACCCAACTGTCTGGTTCTATGAAATGTAGCCATTTGAATCGTTTGCTGGTGCAATGTGGTATTGATTGGGGCCAACCATGCATGAACCTCATTGATTATTATCTTCTCATTAGCATATAGATTAGCTGGCGGTGCAGCCAGAAACGCAAGCCTCAAGTCTCACACTTGGCTGACAGAGCTGAGCAGCAGGGTGAGGGGGCGTCAAAATAATAAGGAAACAGAAGGAAAACAGAAGGAATGGGGGACCTCAGTTGACATAAGCTGCTTAATCATGAACCTAAACTTTTGAAAGCCCAGGACCCTAAACCTCACAAAAATACTTAAGCAAAAAGAGTGTCCACAGTGAAATGGGGCGTAAAGAGTGGTCTAGGCAAGGGTCTTTAAAAACAAATAAAGCCTGCCTTGTTTTCAAAGAGCATTCAAGCTCATTATCATTTTTACGAACGCTGATGCCCAACAAGCTCTTTTGGGGAGTGCTATACATTTAAATGACGTAGACACTATATTAGCCTTAATCTTAGATAGAATTTGACATCTAGGACACTATCAACGTATGCACAATAAAGTTAGCTTGAACATTTTGAAATGAAAACAAAACTGAATGACAGTGACTTATGAGACCCTCTAACACATTTGTACAGAAATAACACTAGCCAATTCATTTAACATCATAATCCTTTAAAACTGCAAATCATTTTTTCCTTTCAGGGGCTGAATATATTAATTGTCTTCAATTATATTTGGGTTAGTAGAGCCTATTTATAATCTCACAGGGGAGAGCAGCAGCTGCCTGTCAGACTCATCCATTTTTATGGACAAAGTGTTCAAGACGTTTGAAATCTCTTCAGAATATTCTGATATATTAGGTGGCAGATTTATCATCCTTTATTTACTGCAGAAAGGTTTATCCAGGCTATACGTTGTGGGAGACTGTTATCACTCCAATGCATGCATTCACTTTGTATTTGAATAATTAACAATAGGATTAATGAGTTTAGTGCCAAAACAATTAGTCAGTTGACAGAATGTTCCAATTAATTTGTTTCCCATGATAGTGAGCTCCAATTTGAGCATTTATAGCTTATTATGTAGTTTTATAGCATTGTAATGGTTATATTTTTGGGCTCTTGATTATGGAAAAATGGCAACTTAGAAGAATCTTGAGAACAGTTTTTCTGATATTTAAAACAATGATTATTACATTGAAAAAGACAATCAATAAGAACTTGAGCTGCAGCCCTCAGTGAGTTATTTATGATCATTGAATTCAGTAGGGTCACAATATTGACAACAATAAACATCACCTGGTTAATGTCTAATGAATGAGAGGGTCCTGGCATTATAGTCAGCTTCCACATCCTCTGCTCTACAAAGTAGCATGTCCTTGGTGATGCTGGGGTTATCCCCTGAGGCCAATGATGGTCGATGGGTCTTGTCCAAACAGAGCAAGCGGGGCACAGCCTTTGTTACAGTGTGTAAGACAGAGATACCCTCTGATCCCGAGGCAAGATTGGTCGGGTAGCCCGTAATTGAGCCATCTGACTCAGACGGACCTTGCCTTCCACAGCTGAGTAGACCGGCACAAAGAGAGATGCTGGCTGCTTTCCAGGTTAAGTGTGCTGAGCGCGTGTACCATTCCAGCACATAGACTCATGCTGTGAAGACACAAAACACTTTCATTTCACTCTACCCAGTAGACTGTGCTCTTTTATGTACGGCATCATTTCGTAAAGCCCCAGCCAGTAAAGTGCCGATTGCTCCACGAGATTCCAAAAAATTACTTGGATTGTCAACAACTCAAAATAAACCCAGGGGAAGCAGACAGAAGGAGACTGAGGCAGAACATTAAGGATTTTTCCCTTTGATCTAAAAATATGACAGTTGAATAGTTCTGGCAAAGCTTGCAGATTAGCAACACGCTTCAATCCAGGCTGTTCTATCAGAGAAGTCTCTGAGGCATCTCTCACAGGCGTCGATCCTACCAAGAGGAAATAAATAGGTCAGGTATGAGCTGAAGTAGATAGTGCTTTACTGCCTTCATCGGAAAAAGCATTTCATTTTTGTTTTAATCGAAAACATCTGACGAACAAACAATCTAAAGAAAACTAAAAAGCCTCTGGGTCACAAGTAGAGACTTATAACTTTAAGGAAGCTTGTGATGACTGCAGGAATGCATTTTATCATTACTTTACCAAGACTAGAAGATGCAATTTGCCAAAAATGACATAGCATTGTTTTTTTAATGAGGATAGAGATGAGGCACTCAATGCATTTACCCCTCATGGAAAGCTCTTATTTGAACTATAATTACGACAAATATACCATATCCTGATGATAGTGCTATTCTGCCTGAAAAAGTAATGCATATATGGTTATAACACTTTAAGGCAAATACAAAGGTCACCATATAATCTTTAAGTCATCTATAAAGTCATCAACAGGTCAGAATGGTCTTTGACCTGATAATGTGTAAAATGTGTAAGCCTTTGAAAATATTTAAATTTGACATCATCCAACTCAAACCTTGCTTGTAATTGTCAAATGTAATCATCAAGGAATTGTCTAGAAAATGCTAACAAACATGCACTTATCACAAAATATATCGTCCACCTATGAAAAAGGTCAAAACACTTTTTATTTCTGACATCATACACACCAACTGACAATTTGTATTTGACTAAATGGGAATGATGTCTGTTGCTGTGACTGAACTGGCATCTTTCATGTAGAGAAGCACATCATCTGAGTTTCTTGCCAACAAAACTTGCATGCAAGTGTGCTTCTTCTGCACAGGAAAAAGATCTTTCCCACTTTTCGGCAGAGTGAACGCATCAAATCTCTCTGATGTGCATCAGGCTGATCACTAATGGATGTAATGCAAGAAGCAAGTGAAAATAAAGTGGTCACAGATGATGGAGCGCAACATCTCAACATGCAAAACATGACCTGTGGCTCTCACTCTCTTGTGAAATAAACAAATCAACCTTTTCATAACACTGAGATAAATAGCACATGACAGCTTGTGCATTATAGACCATTATTCAGCTAGAAGAATTAAGGGCTAATACTGTTTGATGTTAGCTTCCACTGAATTACATATAACAGCTTGATAAAGCAAGCAATTAACCTTTGGAAGATCTATGAGCTTCTTGTGTAAGCCTGTTGATGCTTTTTATCTTGAAATAAGCAAATCTCTAAGCATAATCTGACCCTCCAGAGATGGCGTATAGTTTAAGGAGGAGGTGGAGGCAACACATACTCTAGGGCAGCCATGGCCTAAAGTGACCTCATCTGAAGAATAGAAGGGTTGCCTAGTGATGCTGAATACAGGAGCTAAAACTCTGTTCATTTTTGCTTGGCCTTCCTACCCTACAGGTTTTTACCAAACAGAGGAAAACAGGTATACAAATCACGTCATTGTGCGATTTTGGGCACCCCAATAGAAGAAGAAAAATCAACAACAAAAAAATCAATGGCAAAAATAAGAGCTGAATTGATTAGTTAATGTACTGATTAGTCAATCAACATAAAAATCAAATCAGTAACTATTTAGATAATTATTTCATGCCAATATGATAGTTGCATCCCCTCACAAGGTGAGGATGTTCTTATTGTATTTGGTATATAAGTTAGTAAACTTAATATATGTGGGTTTCAGGCTATTAGTTTGACAAACAACCCATTTGAATATTGACTTGATTTTTATGGGCACATAATGTTGTTTTTTTGACAAATCAATAAACAAGAGAACAAATAACAAATAACAGGTTAATTCCTAATGGGAACAATATGTTGCAGCCCAAATGCAAACACACACACACATGACATTGTACTTGTGTTTAAGGTCTAAACACAGACACAAGGGGAAGGGGAGGCTAGCTTTAGCTGTGATGTTATTCTGAACACATTCAGGTCACAGGGAGGGCATGGCCACACCATCCCAGCTCTAGCGGAGCATTAGATGGCCTACACTTGTCACAATAACTCCTCCTGTCCGAAAGGTCATGACCTATTGGATCAAAGTCCTTCAAGAAAAAGCCTGGTATATACTTAACACTTTAAAAGTGATGAACAAACACTAGCAAAGCCGAAGAAGGGACGCTAATGTGGTCAAAATATTGTTATTGCACGCTTTTCTCACGTACTGATTTTCATTCATAGCCAAGTTGTTTTTCTCCACGATGGCTGGTGCTGAATTCCTTTACAACGTTCGCTAACGTTAGCGCTACTTTGCTTGTTATTCGTCTCCATATTAGGGTTTCAAACCACATGGAGGGTCTGCATGCTAAACTTAGCCGTCAAAAAACGTTAGCAGGCAAGCTAGAAACAAACGTTGCTCCTGTTTTGGGGCCCCGAAAAGACGTTAGCTAAGTGCAAGCGTTTACCCTCACGCGTTCCGACACACACAAACACAAACACGGTCACTGCCCCCGCCCGCCCCGTGCCAACCGTGACACTCTGTCCCAAGAAGCAAGCGAGACGTTGCACTTACCGTTACCGTAAAGCCTTGCTCCTCTTTCTGGCTCTTTTCCCTGGCTGTTTTTCCTGATATTCTACACCATTTCTGGACGGTGGCTCAGAGCAGACCAGCGGCAGCAGGGGCAGAGCAACTTCTTTCCATTTGCATTCCAAACTGGCAACGTGACGTAAATCTGACCAATGAGCGCAGAGTATAACGTGTAACTCCGCCTCTTCTGCTGTCAATCAACAGCACACTCCACCTCCCCCGCCCCCACCCTGTCAAGTGGCGACCGCTGTCCTGATCTCCATGGTAACAAAAGGGATTTAACCCTTGCACTGTTCTACAGTACATTTAAGTGCTAAAATAAGTAGATCCTTTACTTAAGGAAAATAAGCCTCCACTACAAATACAAGTAGGCTACTGCATTCAAAACCTTACTTAAGTAAAAGTATGTATAATCAAAATTGACTATAAGATAAGATAAAACTAAATGTTTCCCTAAACAAATGGCTGTAGAGCAGTTGCAATACAATATGGGTCGATTGCAAATATAAGGTGAAAATACAAAAGTCAAAAATAACAATGTTAGAAATGGTTGATAGTGAGCCATATGTTTTCATATCCTTTTTTGATTCAATGTGCGAGTAAATAAGATGGAGAAATATGCAGGAATCTTCGGCCACTCAGACAACGATTTACGTTTATTAAGAACTTGTAGTTTTTATTGTGACAAAAAAAAAGATTGCTATGAATTCTTAAAGATGTATTCATAATTTTGTGGTTGGTTCAATGTTAAAAAGTATCACAATGTTGCTTCAGTTCCGCAGGTTTGTGACGAATGCAACATGTTTTATTATATATGTTTTTATGTGTATTTTTAGGAAAGCTATTTTTAAATGACCAATTTTGAAGAAACATGTTTTTCACTGGTTGTGAAATGTGTGGAAAATTGTGATCTGGAAAGAAACTAAAGCTCTTAGGCAAATGTTCAGTGGAGTAAAAGGTACAATATTTAATATGTACTTGAGTTCTGAGTTACTTTCCGACTTTTCTGAAGTTATGTTTTTCCGTTCATATGGGTAGGCTACTTAGTTAATAGTGTTAAAGGAAGACCAGAGCAAAGAGTTAAGATATTTGACACTTTGTTGCCCCACTTAAAAACTGCCTTCTTTGTTGTCCCTTCAAGGAAGGTCAAAGGTCAGGATCAGCACCCACAGAAACAACCACACCCTTCACTGGTTTAGATTAGGGTTTTTGTTCAAGATCACTCCAGCATGTCAGAAGAAGATTTCAGTTCTTTCACTTGCAAAATTATTTCACTCGGTTAAATAACTTCAGCTACTGCATTGTAGTAGGGCCCCCATACTAATTACAAGTCACAAGCTAGAATGTATTTTCTAAACATTTCATTTACAATATAAAGTACACAGGGAACCATCCTTTGTGTTACGTTCAAAATAGTTATTTTGTTATTTATGTCATTAAACAACCTCAACTGAAGTTTGTTTCTTATATTTTCTAAATGTTAGCATTGCATGGTCTTCATAAGCAAAATAAAACTGCACTGAGATTTGAAAATAATAATAACAGTTTTAAATATTTTTAATGGGAATACTTTTTGCTTTCTTATTATGATGTTAATTTATTTTCTAGAGGAAATAGGAAGAAATAAGCATCTCAATCAATGGATCCCCTCCACAATAAACATATGTCTGGGATTAAACAGATTTTAAAATAAAATGTGTATCTTGTGTTTCCTATAAAAAACTGTAATGGGCTGGTTAAATACAATAACCATAGAATTGCTCTGTTTTGTTCAATATAATTGTTGTTTTCATTTTCTTGCACTCATCGATCATCCCTCGGCAGTCTTCAAACTGCAGCATCCACAAAGCATGTCCACATGGAAATGAGGCGGCACAGTAATAAAATAGACAGCAAGGAATTGCTAATGTTTCAGTGAGTTGCTATTGTATTGCCTGTAATATGATCAGGGGGTGCATACATCTGCCTACAAATACTGAATAATTTATCAGAATATGAGTTATTCGGTTGGCCCTTGAGTTAATTATCTGGTGTATCATAGCTCCCTTGATACCTGGCTCGCAGCATCAGCATGGACACTGTATCATTCTAGTAACTTGGTGAATCCCCAAAGGCACATTATGGGCTTGCAGTCAGGCAGACTGTGTAATATTAATGTTGTTGCAGAGGTAACACTAATCTCCAACGCTGCTCTGCTGGGCTGGAACATACCTTCAAAGTGATGTTTTTACAAGAATGGGCCAAATGTAATTTTGTTGTAGATAATACATGAGGATCCTAATGGAATATTTATGTGCTCCCGTTCAGCTAGGTTGATCCTCCATATCAACAAGGTCATGGATGGGAGGTTTTACGTCTATCAACATGCATAATCACTTGCCAGCATTGTCACTAGTTTACATTAAATGTTCTTATCATTATACAATATAGAGAGAGTTTGGATCACACATACTTCAATTGAAATACGGTCACCCATATTTGAATGTGAATCATTTTAGCCCCTGATGGTTCATTTTATCTGTGATGTGTGAACACATTTAAAGGGGCCCTATAAGCTTTTGGGGGTTTCCCATTTCCTGTAGTGTTATTTATATCTTTTGATAGTTTAACTATACTTTTGATGTTAAAAAATCTACTTTTGTTCATGGTCTCCAACAACACAACTAAAAACAGACCTAGAAGACTTAGTAACACTCACATGGTTTGAACTGTGCTCAAGTTATTTTAGTAGCACTGTGGATAAGATCTCCCACAGAGTGAGCATTGTGACATTTCAGTGAGTCACAGTCAAGAATGGCAATGATCCAATCTAACACTCATTAAAACACATACTACCACATATTTTACAGTTTACTCCCACATCAAAAGCAAACAACATGACATTGCCAAATTATTTTAAAATGATTTATCTATTTACATATCGTATTTCAATAACTTGCATATAGACTCTTATTGCGCTATTTCACTATTTCACTTTTTTTAAACTATTTTTCTTTTTGTATTACTATTTACTATTTACTTGCACTATATTTTTCTGTTTATCTGTGTTTTGTGTTGCTCTGTTGGAGAAGCCTGTGACACAAGATTTTCATCGGCATAACTACTCTGTAGCTATGTTCGTATGACTAAATAAAGAACCTTGAACCTTAAAGCCGGAGGGTGTGTTCTTTAGTACATCTATTCTTCCGGGAAATGCTTGACACGCATCATTCTCATACACAGAAGTTTTTACTCTCCATAGCCAGACAACTGACAACTGGATATACAAATACCTCCTACTATATAAGCTAGTCCAGTAAATACATTACTCTATGGCACCATAGTGAACTTTGAGAAAAGGGAGCTGTTTGTTAAGTAAGGTCAGCAACTTTTAAAGATTGCTCCTTTTGAGCCCTCCACCCCTGATGTGTAGGTTTGTGTATTGGTGGATCTTCACGTTTATACTATATAAAACATTGTTTCAACTACAGTAGATCAGATATCAGTCTAATATTTAAAGTATTTAAGGTTCTGTCATTATTTTTCCACAAGGGGGTGCCATCATGTTACCAGTCTACAAAGCACTTTCTGAGCTCAGACTGACAACCCCTTGTTCAAGCTCACACTCAATTGGACAAACCTATGCAAGAAAAAAGATTAGAAACAAGAAAAATACATTATTAATAATACGATATGGAAAATGTGTTATTGGATTATTATTATTAATACATGTTCTATGAATTGAGATTAAAAGAATCACATGTAAAATAAAAACCAGCAATCATCAAGTTTTGTCATGTCTTGTGAAAAATCTGCTCTCAGTTGTCATCAACTCATCATTCACGTAAAATATGTTTAAAATAGCATGGAGGAATGAGGTGAATTGTTCCACAGAAACAATGAATATTCCTGAAGTCAAAGGCTGTGTGCAGTTACTTCCTCTCTGCTGTGTTGCTCTGGTTAGTGCTGTTGTGTTTGTTTTTATTATTTTCTTCAAAGACAGAGACCAAACCAGCACCTTGATGCCTTTTTGAACTATTTTTCTCCTGCATGAAAGAGCTCGGGAATGACGATAGTGCGGCCTCTCGCATCAAAGTTTGCTTATTAGTTCAATAATTACTTGGTTTTCTCTTCATTGTTGTGTAGTTCTCCGAGTTGTCTCACTCCGTGTTTGTACAGCAGGGATGACTATTGTGAGGAAGGATATTTAGTCTGATTCAGCCCCAGCAGACATCCCCTCCCTGCTGCATAAGACAGACAAAAAAGGATTGGAGATTACAGGCATCCTGTACATTGACCTCTGTGTTTACTTAATCGTGGGGCGTCTACACCGATATTACCATTATTAACACTCTTTTACAAGTCGTTTCAAGCTGTAAAAGGAGCTGCGGATCCTAGATGCCTTCCATCTTTCTCTGATGAATCAACTAAGAAATAATCTTTGACCCTTCCAGTTAATGTTCATCTCCAAATGAACTAAGATTCCTTTTTCTGGCTTCCTGGAAAATCGTTCTCCTTTCTGATCACTTATATCACTTACCTTGTCTCTGATTCTCCACCAAAGCATGTGGTTGTTTGAAGAGCCGATAGTGAAATTACAGCAGCTTAATGTGTCTCCATCCTCTTCGCAGAACTTGAATGGAAGAGTACATCCAACTTGCTCATTATTTCAATTTCCTCACATCCGATCAAAATAATAGGATTTTTGCTGGTTGGTGTGCAGTGATGTGTGTGGAAGAACAAGAGTCCGGTGTTTCACAAAGTGTTTCAATGAATGAATGAACCCACTGAATAGCCTATGCAACTGTTTGTGCACAGTTGCCTCTGTTTTGCCTTTTTGCTCAGATTACTCATCAGTTCCTTTTCAGTTGTTTGCCATTTATTCTCGAAAAGACAAATGTCATATCAGTTGATGAATGAACTGACAAAGAGGTAAATAAAAACACTTAATGAAGGGATCAGTGGAATGACTCACCCCTCCCTGTGCTATTATTTGCCCACACCCTGAGGACTATCAATACAAGTGTGTTTCTTACTGTTTCCTGCCTCTACTGTTAAATACCAGTCATGCATGTACAACTGTATGACGAAGAATGGTCGCTGTTCCT